TTGTTCTTAGTTGACGGTACTTAAACTTATTTCTGATGTACAAGCAAACGCCGCCTCCTTTTTTGCTTGTCCTGTCAAATCTGTGGACGTCGTAGCCTGGTAGAAAGATGGCACTGTTTGTCGAGGTGGCTGTCAGCCATGTCTCCGTAACAGCAAGGATATCAATGTTGTGTTTGTGCAGAAGATAGTGAATGTCCCTAAGCTTATTCAATAGGCTGCAGATATTAATATGTGCTATAGTAAGATTAAAGAGTAATAATGTATTGCATGCATTTGAATGAGTGATACTTATCTGTGGCGTAGAGGTAGAGATGCTCTGGGGAGTGCTGCATGCGTTGGTGACAATAGTATTCTGTTGTGCGGGGACTCGTCATTGTGCAGGCTTGTCCTGAAGTAACCTCGCCAATTCAGCGTCATCCAGTGGTTTCCCTTGTACCAATATTTTGTCGTAGGGAAGGGAACAAGCAGTGCCAAGCCCTCGCAATTGTTTAAATGTGGGAAGTACCTGTCTCCTTCGTGCCTGTTGACAGGGAGTTAGGTCGTGGCTAACGTAAACCGGTTGACCATTGTGGCGGAGCGTCATTTTATTTCTTAGGAGAGAGGCTTTTCCAGATTTGTTTGTTTTAATGAGGACCGGTCTGGGGCGTACGTTTGTGTCCTCTCTTGGCCTTCCAATACGTAGCACCTCTTGGATCAGAGTGTTTGACGGGACAAGGGTTCGTGCGAGTGAGGGGAGGTCCTCTCCCTGACACTCCGCCACGCCGTGCAATAGTACGTTGTTTTCCCTTCCCTTCTGGTTCAGGAGTTCCTCGACCAGATCTTGAGTAGTGCCATTCACGGTCTCTCGGTTCAGGCCGGGTTCGGTTTGGTTGTGAGGCTGGTTCCGCATGTGTACCTCCAATCGGGACATCCTGTCAAGAATGGCTGGTTTACCACCGTCTTGGCGCCACTCGCTGACCTCTCTGCGTAGGCCAGTGTTCTCCCGTTCCAGGCTGTCCACTCTCTTCATGAGTATGTCTATGTCACGGGCCTGCTTTCGCAACAAATTTGTCATGTTTTGCAAATTCTCATGGACTGGCGCCAGTCCGTCTGCCACAACATTACTGAGGTCGGAACGCAGGTCCGACCTCAGGCCATTTATTAGGCTCACCATGTCCATATTGAGTTCTCCGGATGCGGGTAGAGACGGGGCCGAAGGCGATGGTAGGTTTCCAGTTGTCTGGCGCTTGGGGGCCGGAATTTCGGTGGGGCTGTCGGACCGATCCTGCACCTTGGATTTTTCTCCGACTTTCCTCACTGGTGTAGGTGGCACAATGTCGGGATCCTCTAAAAGCTCTGGAGTGTTACCTTCCCCACGACCAGCGTGAGGAGGGGAGGTAACACGACTAAGTAAATTCCGAACTACTCGCGACATCTTGGAATCCGCGGAATCATAAAGAGAGCATTGCACGGTGCGCCCGTTTGCTCTTAAAGGGGAAGTTAAGGCAAAAATCAAAATTTTTAGGCAACTCTTGCACCTTTGTACAACTAACTTTGCTGTAGAAAAGGTCAAAATCGTACACCAAATCGCTTGTCGCATCGCATCGCATCGCAAAAGTTGAGCCAAGCTCAACACCACACTTCTGCGATGGCCTGCGATGGCCTAGTTGCGGCAGTGTCGTGGGGTGCGACATGGCTGCGATTTGGGGTTTTCCCGGTTTCGCGTCTGTCGCATCGCGTGTCGCATCGCAAAAAAGCTTCTGTGAATCCCGCTAGATTGCCTTGGAATTTTGGGTTCAAATTTTCACAGATTGTTTCTCACATCTTCCCGGTTTAGAAAAACTAGCGTTTTATGCGAAACTCGCGAATTTGGTTTTTCGATTGAAGTCCCTACCAAGACGGCAAGAGTATGCAACTGTGATCTCTTTTCTATGGACTCTTGCTTGTACATGTACTTGTACTTGTACAATGTAGTTGTAGTGCACTCCGATCCGATCAGTGAAGTACGTGTTGCGGCGAGTGGTGTTTGGGGAGGTCGGTTTGAGAGAGTCTTTCTCGATATTCGGGTTTTCAACCCCTTTGCTCCCTCAAATCGATCCTCTTCCATCACCGCTTGCTACCAGCGTCATGAACGTGAAAAACGGAGGCGATACGAACAGCGCGTCAAGGAGGTCGAGCGTGGAACCTTCATCCCTGTGGTTTTCGCTGCAACTGGTGGTACTGGTCGAGCTGCTGCCGCTCTCCTCAAGAGAATAGCTGCAATGGTCTCCGACAAATCTGGTGAGCCATACCCTGCAGTGATGGCATGGATCCGCTGCAGGTTCAGCTTCGCCCTTCTCCGTGCAGGCGTGGCTTGCCTGCGTGGTGCACGACGGCTATATTCGCACCCGGAGGTGGCTGAGTCATCCGCTCGACTCGCTGTCTCGGAAGCTGCCATACAGCACTAGACACTTGTTTATGCCTCGTCATCATTGCTTTTTCTCGTATGGTCCATATACATGTATGTAACTACTGGTACTTGTTTTTATTAAACGAAAGCAGAACGGTAAAAAAAAAAAAAAAATGAAAAACAAAAAAAAAATCAGTGAAGTACGATCTAGCGGTGAAAAATATTTTTTATTGGAAAATTATTTTTTTTTACGGGGTAACGGCTTAGGGCCTGGTCAGACTGCGGCAAAATCGAAATAATCCTAGGATTATAATCCGAATCTCCATAGTAACTTGCCGCCAGAGCGGCAAAAGCGAGAGTTGACGCTCCAAAAAAAAAGCAAGAACGGACCACGCTTTTCCGCTCCAAACAGGATTTGACGCTGATACGCCATTGACGCTGATATAATCACTGATTTTTTCATCTCGATATCGAGGAGCTAATTGGCCACGGACAACAACAAAACTCATAAGGATGGTTGCAAGGATTGCACTGAAGGTGTTGGCGATCCCCAAGGTGAAGGAATTTGACGTCGTTCGTGGAGATTACCACTTGACGCTCGAAAGGAAGTTTGAATTTTCACTCTCCCCACATGTGTAGTGTGATCGCGATTCAAATTCTGGACGCTGTTCTGTTTTCGTCAGGCAACCAAAATTTGCCGCAGTCTGACCAGGCCCTTACTAGGGATTTCAGGCGGTTTTTTCTGAGCAGCGCTTTGCTCCAACTAACAAGTTTTTCTGAAGCATCTATGTGTAAGGACTGTCCACAGAAAATTTGAACGGAATCCAAGCAGTATTTCCAAAGTTATGAGCATTCAAACATAGCGCACCAACCTTGATGAACACACATACAAATTGGATCTGCAGGATGGCACAAAATGGAATTCCCATACTCCCTAGCAACACCATAGCAACAAATAAACTTCATCCGATCGTGGCCAAACTTGGATCAAGGATGGCCCTGGCTGTGACGGAACGGAAGATAAAAGTTTTTTTCAAAATTCCAAATGACCGCAACAATGGCGTCCTTAGCAACGGCCCTAGCAACAGTATATTTCACGCATAATTCAACATGGTAATAGGTGGAATATGACAGAAATACGGCAAACACAACATTTAAGTTATATAGTATGCATGTGGGAAACTAGAGGAGCAGACAGCAAGCTCTGATGTCACACAGTGCCCGTTTTCGGCTGCAACGAGTCAGAGACGCACATTACTAGCCGCACAACGACCATACTAGAGGCTTTTGAGTATTGTACACAGAAGCCAGCCAGCGGTGAGTATTTATAAGAGATAAGTTCAGTAAAAAACCAGCCTGGAACAACCACGCACCTGTATGACACGCGGAAGATCAAGTCTGGTGCCACACACAGGGTCAAGACCTGCTATGCCGGGTGCGGGCTCCAAAGCGCCATCATTTGCTGCGCCGGCATCAACATCAACTGTTGCTTCAGCACTGACATCAACGGCTGGTCCAGCATGGACATGAACTGTTGCAAATGTCCACACCTCAGCACGTACGACTGCTCAGGTGTGGAAATTTGATAACACTGATATAATTTTCCAAACTTATACAATTCATGCAATTTGCAATCCCTGCAGCCTACAATTTTCCTTGCAGTTCAATGTTTCTTTCTTGGACAAGAATCAGACACAATAATAATATATGATTTTTCGTTCAGTGTGTGGTTATCTGCTTTACAATTTGATTGAGAGGCAGTTCAAAAGGATGACTTAGTAATTCACTGAGGTCGTCACTTGCCTTGTTCTTCAGCAAATTTTTTCTCCACTCTCTGATACGCCCGATTTTGTTCCTGGCAATTTTCACATCGTCTCGAAATCCTTTCCATCCACGACTGCAACTAGCAAAATCAAATTATGCTAACTCTACTTGGTATCATTTTTGCTTCTCGCCCTCAACGAGAGTTCAACTACTACTAGGCCATTCCTCAACTGCCTGGGACAACACCATGAACACAGAGGAAGACGGAAGTTAATCGTCTTTCTTCTCCACCTCCATACTGTGTCATGGCGTTCAACTTCAAAACAATTTCCGCGACCGAGCGCGACCCTTCATGCCGTCTGAAGGAACCTACCTAGACTAAATCGATGCCGTAAAATCTGATTCTGACTGCCGCTTGAGCGTGGAACCAAGGCAAACACCTCAAAAGCGACTTTGAAATCTACAAGAATCTATCGAGATGCGTAATATCGGCACGAATTCGCCGTGTGAGGCACCAAACGAAAGCTTGAAACCTACTCTTCAACGGTGCGCCAATAAAAATAGCGATAAACTCACTTTCCCTACCTAAAATCTACGCCGAAGACCCCGCGCTGAGCTGTGCCATGCCTGGCATTCAAAAAGCATGCATGCGTGTCAAGGTACTTTTGCCCCCGCAGATCACGTGACTGAAATCCCTACCCTTACCATTGCTTACGGGCAAAATAAAGTCATGTAGACGTGAAAAAAAATGGAAAATAAAATAGGTACATGTATACAGTACAATCATAATAATTATTATGTACGAGAAAATGCCAAAATAAATGGTCAAGTGCGCATTTACAGCCACTATGATAATGCAAATGGGACATATCATGATTACTAGTATGTCTTGTTTATCCAATGTCAATGAACACATCTTTGCCGTTCAATAACAAGACACTTGAACTGGATTACAGGAGCGCTTATTTCTCATGCAGATTGGTATTGCTGACCCGGCGAACTTCCGTTCTTGCCATCGCACTCGTGTTTTTGACGTGGACACCAATGAGAATGCAACCAGTGTCAGATGTGCATTGCCCGTGTGCACTGTCCACAAAGCACCAGGTACGGTTACTATCCTTTCACGCTGACTGTGAATATGGTTATAGGAACTAACTGATGGTTCCACACTGGAATTCTCTTAGTAGATGTAAACAACTTCTAGAATTTTTGAATATTTAAAATTATGAAACTATGAAGAAATGGTGTAGGGAAAAAATATGGATTCAAACAAGTTTTCGTACAACACTCATCAGGAATCGTCGTTGTACTAAAGGACACTGAAACAAAAATTGAACTATTATAGAAAATCTAAGTTAGAGAAATAACACTAAGAGCAACAACAGTGAAATTTACAAGTGTGAATTTTAACAATCAAAGCGAGAAATGAACAAAGGAGAAAGGAAGGAAAGACAACGTGATAACACATAACAGCAGTAGTCGGAGAGCAGTGATGGGAGTGATGGTGAGAATGCCGGTGAGAGTGTTAGTGTTGTGCGTAGGTTTCGTGGTAGCAAGTCTTCAGTGTACAATCATTTGCTAGCTAGTCCTGATTGTTGCAATTCGTATTCCGACTCTTCGTTCACTGTATTGTGCCGTGGTCGTCATGGTTATGGACTACAGTTAAAAGTGTTGGAAGCTATCTATCAGCATCTGTACAAGCCTAATTTGTGTGTACAGAAAAATAGTATAATTGGGTTGAAATTGTTCAAGTAACGTGTCGTGTTTAGTGCGGCCAAGCTTGGCCGTTAATGTTCTAGGTGTAATGTACTGCTGTTATGTGTTATCACGTTGTCTTTCCTTCCTTTCTCCTTTGTTCATTTCTCGCTTTGATTGTTAAAATTCACACTTGTAAATTTCACTGTTGTTGCTCTTAGTGTTATTTCTCTAACTTAGATTTTCTATAATAGTTCAATTTTTGTTTCAGTGTCCTTTAGTACAACGACGATTCCTGATGAGTGTTGTACGAAAACTTGTTTGAATCCATATTTTTTCCCTACACCATTTCTTCATAGTTTCGTTTTATTGCACATCGTCTCCACCGTTTTTTACATTGCGTATTTAAAATTAATAAAAATATTATTTCGAAATGCTCAAACAAAATACAAATCTGTCATGCGTGTATATTACATGGGGGCCTTGGTTGGATTAAACAGGCGACAGCCTTTGAATACTACTAGTACACTGATCATAGTCCTCCGCTCTCGTACACGTGGTTCAGGCCAGGCTGAATGTATGCTCGGACATGATTGATCAAAGCTTGAGTAAGCGGACTATCGCTGGCTTGTCCCAAGGCCAATTGCTTCACGGTGATGATATTCACGTTCAGCATGTTACTGTGAAAAACCATTATTCTAACGGGGCGCATATATAACGATTTCCTGAAATTGACAGGTTTACGATTCTCACTCATTCTCAACGCTCAATAGCAACAGAATTGTATTGATTTCTGGATAACGATTTCTATTTTAACGACAGATTTCTCCCCGTTAACTCGTTAGAATTAGCACTTCGTTATAAATATGGCTTTTACAGTACCTGCTGCGATTGCTGCCCCGGCCGTCATGAACTCTGCACGTGCGGTGACGTCAAGAGGTCATCGCACGCCAGCCGGTAGCATGCCGTCACTAAGCATTGGCGTCAGAACCTATTTTCGATAGGTCTGACTTCGCCCGAAAGCATACTAGTAGTAGAGGGTCCACGGGACCTCCCCCTGGGAAATGTTTGGAGAAAAACCCAATGTCGTTGCTTTTGAGGGTATTTCCCACCCTTGCATCATAACATATACAAACTCAGTAAGTCTGTATGGGTGGCTGATGAGAAAAAAAAAGAAAAGAAAAAAGTGAATACTGTAAACATGCAATTTTCGGTGTAACTTTAATTTCGGTGATTTCGGTAGAGAACCATGCACCTAAATTTACATTACACCTAAAAGGCACTAGAGTATGCACTGTATGTGAAGGGAACGCTGGTCACCTAATTCTACATCACACCTCAAACCTGGCAGGTCCGTGGCACCGAAATTTTAATGCACCTAAAATTACATGTTTTTAATACAGTAGTAGTCGACGTGGAGATAATAACCGTAAAATAGCTTCTTTTTTCTTCTTCAGACTTTTCCCGTTTGTGTCTTTCCCTCAAACCAGTGAAAATAGCTATGAACAAAATTAAACTGGCGCTCATGTCAAACAACAAAGCAGCAAAGGCTTAGGTTTAGGTTTAATTTATCAATGGAATCTCGATAAATGTGACAAGAAAACGTTCTGGAACTAAACCTTTGCTGCTTTGTTGTGTGACATGAGCGCCAGTTTAATTTCGTTCATAGCTATTTTAAAGAAAAAAGTGCTTGTGTTTGTGTGTACGTGTGTGTGTGTGTGTGTGTGTGTGTGTGTGTGTGTGTGGTGTGTGTGTGTGTGTGTATGTGTGTGCACGTGCATGTGTGTGTGTGTGGGTGCGTGTGCGTGTGCGTGTATCCCTTGGTAGCGGAGCACGACTGGTTGCCAAACACCGATGACAATGTGCGCAAACTGGAGGATCATGTCGGCGAGGAAATCGAAGCATGGCTGGAGAAGCTCAGTCGGAACGTGCAAACACCACGGCCTATCAACAAGTTCAAGCAACAGGTCGTCGTAGACTGGTTCTTTGGAGATCCGAATACTGCCAGTAAATGCTTTGTGAGTCGTGTTTGCTGTTGTTAGTAAAGTAGAGTTTGTACATCCGCGTTACCACCGGCTTACGATTGTGTTGAGAAACACAACCAGCTTAGGGGCCGTCCATAATTATCGATCTTTTACACGAAGAGAGAAAGTTTCGTTTTGGGTGGGTCAAGGGGAGTTTAGCTGCATCCATGTACCCCTTGTGCCTGGCCACAAGTTCCCAGTTGACTGTGGGTAGCAGCACGGCTGGAAAAACCGCTCCCAGGCAGGACTTGAACCAGGTGCCTCTCGTGTCTCAATCATGCCAGTAGTTGTGAGACTTACCCACTCACTCCCACCGTTAGGCGCTGCATCTGCCGCTAGGGTTTATCGGGTGTTAGCGGCCGTCGTGAGTTTCCTTCGGGAACGGTTACGATAATTTACTTTACTTTTTAAGGGGAGTTTCGTTTGGAAAAATATTGATATGGGAGACATCAAGGTATTCTTACATCAAGGTATTCTTGCTGTCATGTCAATCAATTTTTCGTTCAGGGGATGGGTAGGTGGGTGAGGGTCCTAACTAAACTTTTTCGTTTCGCGAAAATTATTGATAATGCCGGATAGCCCCTTAGAGAAGTTTTGCTCGTGCCAGGCCCCCACCATGCCTGATTATACCAGTGTGGCAGATGCAGGGCCATAAACGGCAGATGCAGGGCCATAAAGGGTGAAGTGGTAACTCTCACAACCAATGCCCGACAAGGGGGCGAACCTCGTTAGCTGCATCTATGTTACCCTCACTCCGCTGCTCACTCCGCTGTTCACTCCGCTGTTCACTCCGCTGTTCACTCCGCTGTTCACTCCGCTGTTGTGCGAGTGTATTAAAGTACCGCAGAGATACGCCAAATGTTGGTGCGTCTTTGCAGTCCTCTCTCACAACAACCACACACCTCTCTCTCTCTCTCTCTCTCTCTCTCTCTCTCTCTCTCTCTCTCTCTCTCTCTCTCTCTCTCTCTCTCTCTCTCTCTCTCTCTCTCTCTCTCTCTCTCTCTCTCTCTCTCTCTCTCTCTCTCTCTCTCTCTCTCTCTCTCTCACACACACACACACACACACACACACACACACACACACACACACACACACACACACACACACCTTCCTTCCTTCTTCCACTGCCATGACTGGCTATGTGGCCCCATAAGGGGCAGACCAGGAGACGTGTTGTACACCGGGCGGGGAACGCCAGACTCAGCGCGCGCGGGCTGCGCGAACAGCATTACATTTGTGCCTCGCAATATCCCGTGGCGGACGAAAACTGCGCGCACAAGTACCACAGATGAGGGGCTTCGCCACAGGCTCCATGCGGGACTGGACAATAGCGTCGACAGCGTAATGGCAGGTGACCCGCCATCCCTGTCGATCTTGGACGATGTCACCAAGCTGCTTCGGAGGAACGCCAACAGCCATCAAGTCGCACTTCGTGGAGTCCTTCCAGCGCTTACGGGGTCCATGCGATGGACGTTCGGACGGTGACGCGCCGTACAGCAGCTGACGACACACACACACACTCACACACACATACACAGACACAGACACTACTACTACTTCTACTACTACTATAGCATGACTGCCCATTGGGCAATGTCACCCCCGGAGGGGGCCAGAGTTTGGAGGGCATCGTCATTGGCAGGACTCCTGGTGCCTCATCAAGTCTTGCTGTCGTCGGAAACGCTTTGGGCAATGCATGCAGATCAGCGGCAGTGAATCCCTATCGGCTGCAGCAAGACGTTTCCACGGTTGCAGTTATGGCGGTTAAAACCAACCCGGGACTTGAAGCAGCGATTGCAGCATTGACAATGTTGAAAGCAGCAACTAGCGAGAGACGCCGTCAATGCCGTATCTGCATGTTCAGATAGTGCTGGCTAGCAGCGATGAACTGCAAGCCCACCCTTACTTCAAAAGCCATCGGCAGCAACTGATGCACTGTACTGAACCACGCTGTTGGTGGACGGGAAGTTGGCGCTCAGCCAAACACTTGTGCCATGCCTTGTCTTGAGGACAAGAGAAAGCCTGGTTGCAAGATGAGCAGAGTACGGATTTCTCTACTGCTCGAGGCTGAAAAACCAGAACCTGCTCTCGCCAAGCTGATCGGTCTTCGGCACAACCAAACCAGTCTGGAATGGACTTCGTGTCAGTAGCCACAAAACACACACACACACACACGCAGAAGTCTCTGCCGTGAGCGCGGTAGGTCGTCGATGACGACATATACAGAGCCATAAAGTACACCAAGAGTACATATGACACCCCGAGTGTGCCGCTCTGATGGATTGCTGTCACGGCGAAATTCCGTGATTACATCATTTTAGCGATGTGCGCACAAACATTCAAGCGGGTCTCTTTCTGAACAACTTCAGCTCAGTTGCACTCACTACGCCACTTCCCGCCTCAGATCTGGAATCACGGAATCTCGCCGTGACAGACACCCATGCAGAAAAAGTCATGAGCTGCACACTCTGGGGTTCATGTACTCTTGAGTACCGGTACACGTGCAGTGGGTCTCACCTACTACGTACTCCGACACAGCGTACACTTTCTTAGTACGGACATTGTCTGATGTATGGGTACCGGGTGTATTGCCCAACAATGCCACGTGTTTGGTTAACAAGTTCCTCAGCTACTAAGTTCATTTTCCTGCTGCCCATTGGGGGTACGTTTTACATGACATCAGGACCGCCGGAAGCAGTTTTTGATTGGTCCGGTAGTATCATGGCCGTTCATACAGTTTGTGTGTGGTATGGCGGGTACGCAGTCATGCCCTCCACAGTGGGAAACATGTGTTGGTGGCCGAGAAGTTGGTCCGGTAATAACCTGACCAACCCGTACCGGACCGGTTCCGGCGCGCCTGCATGTATCTGATCTCTACTGTGATCTCTACTGTAGTTCCTCTTGCCAACCTAAGTCAGTATAGAGTGGCTTCGCATGTCATCTATCACATGACCATACAGGACGGCCATGTTGGTCCCATCTCCACTCCACTCAGCCATGCATCCCTATGGGTCCCATGGCGTCGGTTCCACTATCCACATGCCATGATCACTTTCCACACAAATTTAGTCACATGACAAGATTGTCGAACCACATGTCACTATCACTGCATACTTCCAATGGACTTACAGACATAATGTTCTTTCGCTTTTTCGCGTATTCTTTGTTTAGGTTATTGCCATTTTGGAGCTGAATGATGAGCACGCTGTTCTCGGCAAATGGGTAGGAGAATTCCTGCGAGCGGCATTGGCCCTGGACTCATTCTGTGGTGAGTTGTAAGTAAATTATTATGCCGTGTAACAGGGTGCGTGTGCTTGCCTGTGTGTGTGTGTGTTGAGGGGGGGGGGGGGGGGGCATGTGAGTGTTGTTTTTGTTGATTTTTATTTTACTTCGCAAGGCCAAACGGGCAATGGTGCCCAATTCTATGGAAGCGAATTTCAAAGCGAGAGAGAGAGAGAGAGAGAGAGAGAGAGAGAGAGAGAGAGAGAGAGAGAGAGAGAGAGAGAGAGAGAGCAACAGGGTGCGTGTGCTTGCTTGTGTGTGTGGGGGCATGTGTGTGTGTGTGTGTGTGTGTGTGTGTTGTTGATTTTTATTTTACTTTGCAAGGCCAAACGGGCAATGGTGCCCAATTCTATAGAAGCGAATTTCACAGCGGGAGGGGGGAGGGGGAGAGAGAGAGAGAGAGAGAGAGAGAGAGAGAGAGAGAGAGAGAGAGAGAGAGAGAGAGAGAGAGAGAGAGAGAGAGAGAGAGAGAGAGAGAGAGAGAGAGAGAGAGATACAGAGAAGCAGTGAGTTTAGGGGCATCTGGGAGATGGATCATTGGTGCGTGGTGGGCGCATCAACATGTGGTTGGGGGGGGGGGGGGGGGGGGGGGGGGTAGCAGCGAAGAACAAATTGCTATGTGATTTAGTGCTGGAGATATGATAAACGATTTTGCAGCATCAACAGAGGGAACACAAAGAGTTCATAAGTGGACAAGCGTGCAGAGAGGAATATATGACGGAGTGTGTGGACGGGCAAAGTCAGCCAGAGCATTCATTGCAAGGTGTAGGGGAGGGAGGCAAGCTTAACTTGCTGAGCAACGTCGATCTCCCTTAAAGTCCTTGGGAGTGCATTCCAGGCCAAGGCTGCCTGAAAGGCCAGGCGAGATCTGCCGACTTCTGATTGTGCCGAGGGGACAGCGAGGCTCCTGGGAACCTGTTGCCGGGCGGTGCTACCAGCTGATGGTGAGAATAGATCCTGGAGGACACTGCTGGCTTTCCCATTGACACAGCGCCACACCAGGGCGAGTTGCTTCTGGACGTTATACTCGTGAACTCTGGGACATCCATTTGAGCAGAGGCTGGGTAGAGGTGTGAGGTGGCAAACCGTATACCGCTCTCGCTGCTCGGTTCTGCCGAGCCTGAAGGCGATCAAGCTGCGAAGCCTTGAGGGAGGAGGAGAAGGCGTAAGATCCGTATAGGAGGTCAGGCATGATGACTGACCTCACATACTGGGTGCGACTAGCGAGGCAGAGGCATCTGCGGGACTGCCATAGTGCTCCGATCTTCTGCACAACTTTCTTCGCAATCGCGTCGACATGGGGGTCCCACTTCACAGCGGCATCAAGGGTCATGCGGAGGTACATTGTCGTTGGGCTGGGGGGAAGCTCTGTCTGGTTGCAATGGAGAGCGACATGCTGACCCGCACCACGTGGTGGTACGATTGACCGGACCTGGATCTTCTTATCATTAAGATTAGTACTCATCTGGTGTACCTCAGGGTTCTGTCCTTGGACCGATCCTGTTTTGCATTTACACCTGTGATGTCCCTGCCATAGACCATCCTGCTCCACCTCTGCAACTTGCCGACGACATTGCCGTGCACTGCCCCAAGAAACCAGTGCTAGCCACATCAGCCTGCCTATCTGGGGCGCCCAGTCACCAACATCGCTGACTGGCTCAAGCATTGATATCTGCTTCTTAATGATCTGACAAAAAGTGATTTTGGAGAGAAAGTGTCCCGAACTACCAGTGTGGAAGCAGAGTGGCGCAGCGGAAGCGTGCTGGGCCCATAACCCAGAGGTCGATGGATCGAAACCATCCTCTGCTAACTAAGTTTTTTTTTCTTCCGTTGCTTATTCGGGCATGTTCCTTTTGCGCTGAAGAGTGGTTGTGGGTGGATGCTGTCAGGCTCCGTACTTCTTGCTCTCTCTTTTTGTTTTTCTTCTCTTGTTGGTCCAATGTTTTTTAGAGTGCCTGTATTGATTGTGTATTACAGGCCTTCAAAATTTTGTCGCTTCTGTGCACTCTTTGCATGTGTATGTGTGTGTGTGTGTCTGTGTGTCTGTCTGTCTGTCTGGCTGGTGCGTGCTTTGGCCGTGCTGGGGGCGGCTGGATACCTGGGGTGATTTGGTGGCCATCCGCCAGGCAACTTCTACACTGCAATTTGCAACCAATCACTCATCTTAGTCTCCACCACTGGTAGCACTATCTATATCCACTTGCTTTATTTTTTTTTTCCTTGTACCATTGACCCTACGCACAGGTCTGTTCTCAGTACCGCTGTCCGGTCTTGATTCCCGATTTAGTCACCTCTTGACTACTCGTACACTGCACTAGGGCCAAATGCAGCCTCTATTTGTTGCACCTGCCCCAGCACCGCACACCTCACTGGCACCTTTTGCTGCTGTTGATGTTGCTGCTGCTACCTTGTATGCTTCAGTTCCTCGCTAGCACCTTCACCACCATGTACGAGGCTATTCGCGGGCAGCGCTTATCTTCGCACTCCTTCTCCTCATTTTAACTGTGCCTCCTTGCCATCAACAAGTCTTTCTTTCTGAAGAAGACCTCCAGCATGGTCGATACACTAATTCGCTCCTGATCAGTTCTGTCTCTGTGTGTGTGAAGTGACCCAGTTGCTCTCCTAGTATGTATGTATGTCTGTCTGACAGAAGCTTGATTATCCATACGATGACATAGCAGATTAGGTGCAGCTTGACGTTAAAAGTAACTCACCCCATTTGCAGATAGCCTAACCACACGACAGGAGCACCTTGATACTGATGAATAGAGATTATAGTAGTGTTACGATACATCCTCGTCTTGCTCGTCTTCTTTGTTGATGTATTCGTGTTTGTCAGTGCCAAGTCTTGTTCCTGCTGTATGGTTTTGCTATCTGAATTTGTCTGTCTGTGTACGGGCTGTCTATCTGCCTCGTACTCAATCTGCGGACAGAACTGTTTCGTCCTGTGTGGACTCATCAGCGCAGCACAGAGGAAATGAGGCCGAACCTGATAGCAATGAAAAATAAATTTTCCAAAGCGGCTTAAGCCAGATTTAAACCAAGCCCGAACGTACCTTGCCAGAGTGCTCAAACTGCCTCATACATTTGTACAACAGTAGATGTCCTGGATTTTGAGCTGGACCTTTGCTGGTGGGTCATCTTGTGGAGAATCAAGCTCTTGCTTGATATCTGTCTGTCCGTCCGTCCGTCCGCTTGTCTATCTGTCTGTCTGCCTGCCTGTCCTTTTATCTGTGTATATGTGTATCCGTTTATCCACCTGTCTACTACCGGTATGGCATGACTGGAGTAGCCACTGTGTTACCGTGGGCAACGGTAAAAATCGCTCGACTCAAATTACTGCTGCCAACCCAGCCGCAATCCTTGTGCGTTTGTTTCCGTCTGTCCGTCTGTCTGTGCACGTGTATCTGGGTGTGCATTTCCTGTCCTGATTCCTTGTCTGATTGCAGAATCTGGCCATGCCCAATCCTGGGCGGTGGGTACATTTACAGTACCGTTCGCTTCTCGTCGTCAGATTCTCGCTACTGTGTGCTCACTGAAGCAACTGCTTGCTCGTGACCAAGGTCAGCTAGCCCATTGGGAAAGAGGCCAGTGACAGCTGCGTTCATGTTTGGCCAGGCTGCAGCTAGCAGCCGTTCTGTGTGTGTGTGTGTGTGTTTGTGTGAATGTGTGTGCACGTGTGTGTGCGTGTGTGTGTGTGCACGTGTACACGTGTGTGTGTGTGTGTGTGTGTGTGTGTGTGTGTGTGTGTGTGCCCATGTGTGTTTGTGTATGTGTGTGTGTGTGTGTGTGTGTGTGTGTGTGTGTGTGTGTGTGTCATCAGGTATCTCCTTGGCTAGTGTGCCATTTAAGAACTGTTCCGTATTGCTTTTACTGTGACTGTTCTCAGCTACTCTTTCAATTTACTGTAGTACACTATACCGTCAAGTCGTGTATAAAAGCCGCGGCATTATTATGACTTTTTGGGGGAAACTTTGCAGGTTACTATATGGCACGGGCATCTGTACAAGACAGGTGTTTCTATGTATGTCAACACTAAAACCAGGCTTATGTGCCGACTGTGTATCTTGAAATCCGGTTTCTGTTCAAAACAGGCTTCTATATGAGACTGTTACTCAGACAGGCTTTAGTACAAGACACTACGTAGATTATGTCGATAAGCAGCCTCTTGTCTGTAACTTCTAAATCTGAAGTAGCGTTCGTCATGAACTCCCTGATGCTTGCTTTGTGTACTTTGTTGTATGGAGTAAATGAAGAATGCCAGAGACGATGAGTGTGTTTTGCTTTTTTCTTCTTCTGGTGTGTGCGCGTATGTGCGTGCGTGCGTGCATGCATGTGTGTGTGTGTGTGTATGCTTGTGTGTGTGTGTGTGTGTGTGTGTGTGTGTGTGTGTTTGTGCGTGTGTGCGTGTATGTGTTTGTGTATGTGCACGTGCAGTTCATGTGATGGTTCTGGTCAGCACACACGCCAGCTCGCAGGGACAGGTGCGTACCTGTCCGTCCGTCCATCCATTGACGCCGTGCGTTGATGAAACGATTAGTCCCTATGCTTGTTTTTTCTTTCCTGTATGTCACATTCTGTACTCATTGCTTCTCCTCACTATGCGTCGTCCGATTCGTCTTGTACCTTGTCCTTATCTTACCCTCTGTTCTTTCTCTAAATAATCGTCTTTCTGTAGGTGTTTGCGTGCACACCATCTCACCTATCAGCCAGTCACGGTGGGTTTGAGGAGTTTTGCTCGTTGGATAATCTGGTGCTGACAGCACAGGACAGTCTAGGTTGTTCGCTTGTCGGTGTACATTGCAGTGCATGCTTCCTGATGAGGTTGGACAGCTCTCATAAGGTGAGGCGACGGGACTCTACTTTGAATAGCCCCGGGGGGTTAGGTTTCTCCGCCGTGTGTGTGTGTGTGTGTGTGTGTGCGTGTGCGTGTGTGTGTGCGAGTGCGCGTACGGGCGTGTGTGTTTGGTGGTGGTGGTGGTGGTGGTGTGTGTGGGGTGTGCGTGTGAGTGGGGGCATGTGTGTTAGGTTGTGCGTGCCTGTACTTCCAGTACACTTGCAGATTTGCTTGCTTCGCTTGCAACGGGCATACACTTTTATATCGATGTTTTGTGTTTGTGCAAATGCACATACCCTTGCATGAGAATGTCTACATGCGTGCGTGTGCGAAATCACCTTTCTACTACATGTTTATGTACTGTCATGTGGCATGCTGTCCACACACTTTTATACTACAGTACATTTTCAGCTAACGAGGTGTGATTGCAATGCTTTCTTCACCTGTTCTCGTTGCTTATCAGGACTGGCCTTGTAGCGTATCTTGGGTCCAGCGTTTGTTGCAGTGCACTGTGACTGGTAGCAGAGGCGAGATCTTCGAGACCGGATCACAGGTCGCCGATCTGCTGGTGCTGCTGCTGACGACTCGAGGCCTGTTTGAGGCGCCGCCGAGTCCGATGGTCCAAACATCGGCTGCAGCCGGTGCAGCGAAGAAGAGAAAGACGCAAGTCCGCTCTCGCTGCAGCCCGTACAGCCGCGTTCTGGCCGAGTCTGTACGCCTCATGCGGTCCCAGCTCAGTCAAAACCTGGCTCATGAGATGCGTTTGGTGCAGCTCGAGCCTTCGTACGTGCGCCAGCGGATTTCCATCGACGAAGACGAGGCAGAGGTGAGTAACAGGTTGCGCTGATCGAACCGATACATCCGAGTGCATTGGAACGTTGGCTGCATTCTTGTTTCTGCTGTTGTAAAACGTCTTGCATTTTTTTGCTGTCGTGTCTTTTGCACTGTGGGTTCAGCTGTCATGTACAAGTACATGACTTGTGTTGTTTGCCTGGCAAGCTGTCCGTATAGGCTAGTATACCTCTGTGTGTGTGTGTGATTCTGTTGTGTGATACAGTGATAGTCTGTGCTTCATGCATACTCATTCCATTATGATGTCTACAAGCAGGCACATAGTAACATAGCCTGTGAGCTGGGGCATGAAGGCCCTTGAGGGGGGGGGGCATGTGCATCCCCTAAAATCTTTCAACCATCATTCAGCCTGTGTATGTTTGGGCCAAATAATTTCCTGAAGCCAAGAGGTGCACCCCCCCCCCCCCCCACCAACCCTACAAGGTGGGACCAACTACACCACTGTGCAAGTATAATTAATCAGAATGGACAGGTGTCTCAAATCCTCAGGCTGCGTATGTGCTCGATGTCCGCTGGTCAGAGCATCCAGCTGTACAGACTACAGTAGGCACATAGCAATGACACAACCAACTCTGCTCTCTAATGAGTGTTTAGGTTTTACAGGAAACTCAAAGTAGCAGCTAAGGGGTCGTCGCGAAAGGTTTCTGTCGTCTCTGATCGTTCATTTCGTCCTCGGACTCCCTCCCCTCCCTCCCCTCCCTCTGAAACGAACACACCTTGCCATGCTGGACGATGAAAATCGCATGCATGTACATGTCATATGTACAGTGTCGGTCGACTTGCGATTTTGGCTCCCACCCCACCCCCCCCCCCCCCCCCCCCCCCCCAAACGAATCATGTTCGTTTCAGGGACGACAGAAAACTTTTGCGACGACCCCTAAGAAGGACTTGATTATGTCATTGCTGTGTGACGATTGTAAATCAGAATATTTCATTTTCTCACTACATGAGTGTGACCTATGTTCTGCCCGGTGGGTTTTCGTAATGGATCGCTTTGTTTCCGTTGTTCAGGTCCACCCTCGGCCTCTTCTCTCCTCGCGTGTCTCCCCGGTGTTGCTTACTACCGATGCATGTTGTCCTGCTGAGGCGGCCGCCGTTCGCCTGGCCGAGGCTATCTCCGTTAACATGGCCATGCGATCGGACGTCCAGTCGTGTGTGCATTCGCTGACCGTGCCTGTGTCCTGCACTGGGGATGCGTCACATCTTAGAAAAGTTAGTATACAATCTTCTAGTATGTATGCATGCATGTATGCAATCCTTCTTTTTAAAGTAAAAAAATTCTTTAACTCTAACATCTCTGTGTACTTACATTGATCACTGGTGCACGATGGAGTTGCATGCGCTCCAACGTTCGTAAGTCGATCCATTCTTCACAGTAATCTATAAAGGAAGTATCTAGGAAGTAGTGAAGAGCTCAGCTGCCCATTGTAACATTTGCTGAAGAGTTACAAGTACAGTGGAGATAGGATATAACGACCTTGCATATAACGACCTTGCATATAACGACCTTGCATATAACGACCTTGCATATAACGACAGATTGAGTTTAGCGACACAATTCTGTTGCCCAAGTCGTTTAGTAAGTCCTTTGTGAAGATCGGGTTTAGTGACAGATCGAATATAGTGACATTTTGTTCTCTCCCGAAGGAGTGTCGTTATATCCAATCTCCACTGTATAGCATTACAGAGAACTCACGCTTGACATTTTAGTCACTAAATCACACTGTGCACACTCTGCATGCTCTTCAATATTCGTACATGCCATGCACTCTAGTATATTCTCTTTCTGATGTCAGTGTTGATTGGCCAAGTCCGAAGTTTGGGTAGATGAAACGATGATCGCAGGAAAGAGACCGTTCAACATACAGATGCTGTTGGTGAGAGCATTCTTGCCCAGTGTGTGAGTGGCTGCATTCTATTTTTGGATCCGCCGTAGCCATCACTGCATGGTGCAAAGAAGACATGTAATTTTAGAACTGAAGTAAGTTTCAGAACAGATGGTCTTTGCACTTTGGCCTGAACATACACGTATGTCGAAGCAGGGATGCTACGGATGCCTGTCGACAGGAAATTACTGAGTGCGGTGGTTGTTCGATCTCCTGGCTCTGGGTTTGGCCCAGGTCAAAGATTTGTTACTTCTTGGTGTGTGCTCCTGTACTACAGTCCATTCATTGGAAACTGGCACCCTAACTTTGTGGTGTCTCCCGCACATAGTTGTAGATATCGTGAAGACCACAGTACATCCTGCATTGTGTGCCCCGTGCAATTACTCCTTGCCATATTTGAGGCCAGAAAAGTCCAAGAACAGGGAAATAGAAATTCAGCTTTTGTAGTGTAGCATCTTACCCATGTGTTTCCTGTTGTACTCGATCTGTTTCTTCAGTGGCTGTCGGAGCGTTTCTGCGAGTTCACTGCCCTCGACCAGTCCTATTACTTCATTGTGCTGAGTCCCGCGCTGTGCGGGCATGCCTCGTCTGTGATGCTGGAAGTTAAGGTCTTCCAGGATTGGCTGCACAGTCGGCGAGCAGCCCAGGCCAGTTCTGGTGTAACTGGTCAGGATGCACCGGCTGAACATGGCTCATCATCAGCTGGAGTTAACGTGTCTGCACAGGGCTTGGCAGCGGAAATGTCAAGAGCTGCAGGTGGACAACGGCGCCAGGAGCAGTCTTGTGGCTCTGGGAGCACTGCCCTGCGAACGGAGTCGGTTCAGTCCAAGAAGGCACTTTGCGACACTGTCGGCGTCAGTTCGGCTGCGGGTGCGACGAGTGGGACTCGCAGTCTTCAGTCCGCTGTGCCTGGTCCCACGTTGCCACGGCGCTGCGTCTACGGCCTGTACTTCCAGCAGCTTAGCCCTCGCCTGTTCAACGAGTGTGCCAGCGTTTGGAGACATCTACAGGCGCAGGTGACTGATATTGACCTGTGTTCTCTACCGGTCGTGACGTGTGTCCGTGATAGTGCCATGCAGGACAAGTTCTCTCCGTGCCACCAGTTCCCGCTGCTGCTCTATCTGCTGCACTTGTCCGTCGGTGAGAACTGCATTCCGCTCACCACGGGTGAGTTGAACCTCTTCAGTCTGCTACTGTGGCACTGTTTTTGATATCAGCTCAGCTCCATGTTACCAGTGGTATATACTCGTAATGTTAGCATGTACAGTGTAGTTTCCTGGCCCTATTAGCAACATTGTATTTTCTTGTGTGGATGTGCACTCTATTTGTTAGCTGGTGTAATTACTTATTGGGAGCCATTGCTGCATATCCATGGTAGAGAAATGCACGTTTGGCCATTTCCTGAGGGCAGTGTTTTGTCCATGAAGTGCTGCTGCTGCTGTTTTGCTGCTGCTGCTGTTGCTGCTGCAATGCTGCTGCTGCACTGCTGCTGCTGCTGCTGCTGGTATGGACATTGCTGCCGTGCAAGTGGAATATTTTTTATGTGACAGTTTCCGTGCCTCTCGTGTTGTTCTGCAGCATCAACATTGCCATATCGGCCGTCTCGCTGGGTCTTGGAGCGTGTCTACACGGAGGTGGTGATGATGCTGACCGGGCTGGCACAGCGCTGCAACCTCACGCTCTTCTCTCCGTCGCCGATCGCCATCGCGGACCACTGCCTGCGCTACGAGCTGCCCGCCGAGCTGGCCATGAAGCAGTGGGCGTCGGGGCTGGTGTGCTGTCGCAGTGACGCTGCGCTGGACACTGAGCACCCGTACGGATGCGATTCCGATGCGGAGGTAGACGAGAACAATATGGAGGAGCATGGTGCAGTATATTCTAAAGGTACCTCTTTGGAGAGCTGTACTCAATCTTCAGTTGAAAGCGCACGTTCAGCATTGGCCGAGTGTGTTGGTGAGGCTGCAGTGACCACTCAGCATGTAAAACTAGCACCGGGCATCGCTCTACCTTGCTTTGTTGAAAGTACGGCAAGCTTAGACGGTATCCAGGCTGATTGCACTGAGCAGGTTACTAATACTTCTAGTCATGCTAAATCCGTACTAACTAGTTCACAACCTGACGGGAGTACCGAGGAACAGCAGGCCGACTGCACACATGCACAGCTACTGGCGGCTTCTAAACCCTTTCCAAAGACTGATAGTATAGGTGGAGAGTTGAGCTGCATGTCCAGCTGTACTCTGTCCGGCGTTTCTCCTATCAGTGCGAAGAACAGAAGCGACAATGAGACGTTGTGTTGTACGAGTACGAATGATTCCCAGGTGGCTACCTGTACAGTGGACGATGCTAATAATACTAGACAGTCTACTGTGACAAGCAGTAGTGGTGGCAGACTATTTCCTGCGGGCAAGCTTGATACACTAGATGACTGTCTGACTTCTGACGCCAATCAGGGTATGCTGTGCAATGGAAATAGCCCCATAGCTTGCACATTATCATCTGCTATTGGTGCGAATGATACTCTTGGTCGAAGCCTGCCGGTGTGTTCAGAAGGCAGCGTGACATCAGCTGCCTGTACTGATAGCAATGCTGTGCATGGGCGGAATGCTAGTCCAGCTCCCCATGCTAACTCTTCAGGCCCTAGCCAGCACTGTACCGAAGACGCCATTCCACCGTCCGACCTGCCCGTTTCCAGCAACTGGAGCGAGGTGCACGTCAAACGCTACCACCTGGACTGGACGGTGGATTTCGACAGTCGCGTGATATCCGGCTACGTAGAGCTGTGCATTGACCCGGCCGGCAATAACATGTTTGATCGGCCTGCTAAGCACAACACTTCAGCCCTGTGTGCCTGCCCCAATCGGGGTATTCTTGCGGTCAGTGAAGTCGTGCTGGACCACCGGAGACTCAACATTACTAAGGTGAGCGCTCTTGTGCACGCTCAGACAGTGCTCAACGATGGCAGCCATGACATCGCTACGCCCCATTGTCTTGCTTCACGGAGGTTTGTTCAGCCATGTGCAAGCAATCTGCCAGCCGCCATGAAGCTGTGCCCGGTGGAATTCGACGTTTCCGAGCACTTTGTGAGGTGCTCGAAGCCAGCGTCTATGTGCTGCCTGCCACGACATATTCGTGTTCACTACTCCACACCAGCGGACAGTGCTTCGCTCAGCTGGGTCAAGGATGCTGATGGAAGGTAGGGTTTTTCCCCTATAGTGCTGTCTGGTACCGAAAAACGGGGGGGGGGGGGGGGGGGGGTCAGAGTTGTAGCAAGAGTGCACAAACAAGAGTATGCAACTGTGGTTATGGGTCAGTGCGCGGCGCGCTGCCTTCATTACATACTAGTAACCTGCCTTCATCACGCTCTGAAAGCATGCATTCAAACTCACAATTTCTCGTACGAGCCCATCCGTTTTTTATCGATTCGTTCCAGTACCTACGCGATCTCTAAATTCTGGCGCGTGAACTCCAGTTCCGTACGAAAGTTCATTTCAAACCAGAGGGAAAGTGCGGTGTTTGATTTTCCGCAGTGCGCGGACTGCAGCTGAATGATGTAATGAAGGCAGCGCACCGCGCATCTGGCCCATAGAAAAGAGATCACAGTTGCATACTCTTGTTTATGGACTCGTGGTTGTAAGTTAGCCTAGGCTGTTCATATTTGCATGTAGAAATCTTTAGATAGGTGAACCACCATGTACATACGAGTATCGTGTACTTAGTCAAATTCTGCCCCTTCCTCGTTCTTCGGCCCCCGGCAATACTGCACTATGTACGTCATCAAGAGTACATAAACCAGAGTGTGCAACTCGGGATGGTTCCTGTGGGAGCGTAATTCGTGCACTACGTCATTTCTGACAGCATGGTAAGCCACAGGTACGGTGAAAAGTTGCGTAACCAGTCGCGGTGGTGCAGGTCACTGAGTTTGTCCTGATTTCGGTTTTTTGATACGGATAGCCTGGTGACTTTACTTGTCGGTGGATGTACGCAGCGTACACAGTCACACAAAACACCGAAATACTGAAACTGGACGTCTAAAATCAAGCAAACTTGGCTGATTTCCTGGCTATGAAACATGAAAATTTGAGCTGTACGCAAGTCGCGGCTTGGCTGACCTCATCAGGGTGACGTAGTGCACAAACTGCGCTGTTTCAGATCTGATATGCACAGTTGCACATTCTGGTTTATGTACTCTTGACGTCATGCATGCATGGCTGATTTCTATGGTAGCTTTCTTTCTAAAATACCATTTGATGCAGAGGGCAGTGTTTTGTACCGCCACTAGCCATTTCAATTCGTCAGCAAAGCAGAGTGGCGCAGCGGAAGCGTGCTGGGCCCATAACCCAGAGGTCGATGGATCGAAACCATCCTCTGCTAAGTTTTTTTCTTCTTTTTTTCCTTTTTTCTTTTTGTTGGCTTTTTTGTGCCCAAGCTCCACTGCACCACTGTAGTGCACTGGTCATTGCAAGGCAAAGATCGCATTGTCATTGTATGTATTTTGTTCATTCATTTTGTACTTTTCGGTCTTTGACCACTTTGGTGCGTCTGATCTACTCACCTCCCACCGCTTTTAATAGGAGCTGCATCTGCGCCTTGATCCTTGCGGGCGGTGGCGTTCCTACGGATGCGGAAAATTGTGATTTTTTCTTCTTTACAGGGTGTTTTGCATGGTGCCATCTAGATCAGGATCAAGCAACTAGTGCACCGAGTATCAGAGTGCATATGATTATTGCGCCAAAAATTCGACAAACGGCAAGCTTTTTTTCATCGAAAGATAGCAAAAGAGATGCCGCAAGTGAGCAACTGCACACGAAGGTGCACACCATAATCATGGAGTATTTGGACAAGCCAGGCTTCCAGTCAGATTGCACAGTAAAACAGAAACACTGCTCCACCGCGAGGCCAGAGTGATCAAACAGAACATGCTCCGAGCGACCCAGACCGGGAGCAGCGCCAACAGAACACGCCATTCTGCCTGCTCCTGTTCCGGACTGTGCCAAATAAACGCACCCGAAGCACAACGTGCATGCAATATTCTGTCCACGTCATGCAAGTCTGACCTGTGTAGCCACCCACTGGCAACCTTAAAGTTTTACCTCCTGACCTCCTTTGTTGTCCACAAAACAGCTGAGTAGGAGAAGGAATTGGATAGGCGAGAGCACGGCGCAAGCACTTTGCACTTGATAATGTTGACTGTAGTGTATTTTGCTCTAACTGAAGTTCTTTCGGTTGGCAAGGGAGCTGGATAAAGGAGAAACGGATATTTGAAGCAAGGTCTGACTTTAGTATTTATTTGCATACACTGTCATGGCGCGTTAGCTGATAGTGCGTGCGTGCGTGCGTGCGTGCGTGTGTGTGTGTGTGTGTGTGTGTGTGTGTGTGTGTGTGTGTGTGCGTGTGTGTACGTGTGCGTGTGCGTGTGTGTGCATGCATGTGTATGTGAGTCAATGTGACTATGTATGTATTTGCACGCGTGTGTTCATCATGTGTGTGTGTGTGTGTGTGTGTGTGTGTGTGTGTGTGTGTGTTCAGACCCTGCGTGTACACGCGCGGCTCGTCCGTCAATCATCGAGAGCTGTACCCGGGTCAGGACACGCCGAGGTGTGCATCCACGTGGAGTGCTCGTGTGTGTGTACCCAGCGGCTGTACTGTACTGCTGAGCGGGGATGAGTCCCGCGAGATCAGCGAAGACGCAAGCGACAAGTGTGAGTCATTATCTTCTTGTGTGGTCCTGTTTGTTCTTAGTGGCTCTCAAAAATGCAATGCGTGTCGAAGTACAATCATACCTCGGTTATCCGGACCCCGCCGTTACGGGCTCTTCGGTTTACCGGCCACCCTCTCTCTCTCTCTCTCTCTCTCTCTCTCTCTCTCTCTCTCTCTCTCTCTCTCTCTCTCTCTCTCTCTCTCTCTCTCTCTCTCTCTCTCTCTCTCTCTCTCTCTCTCTCTCTCTCTCTCTCTCTCTCTCTCTCTCTCTCCCTCTCCCTCCCACTCCCCCTCCCTTCCTAACCATTTCTTTCACATTTCTTCTTGTTTTCCTTTTACTCGTGTTCTGCTGTGCACAGGCAGTGTGTCAGTGTACGACTGTTCCATGTCCACTCCGTTCTGGTGCTGTGTTCTTGCCTTCATGGCTGGCTGGTACTGTGAAACACCAGTCGAGCCGCTCGTCACCCATCATGCAGCTGACCAAGGTGAGTAATAGGCATGAAGGTCCGAATTGCAGTCATGACTCGTTTTGAATCGGAAAATCTGGACGGAATTGTATGGTGCATGATGTGTGCGCCGGAAAACATCTGTTCTGTGGGTTCTCAATGTCCTGTTTGATAATTCCGACCCCGTACTTGAGCACTTTCATGATTGTAATTGATTCTAGATGACTCTTTTGGGGTCTGTACTGCATGACGGTGTGGGATTTTCACACGCCATGCACCTGGGCACTTGAAGGCGTTTGCATTGTGCTGCATTCTGGCATGTCGCCTAGGCTGCATTTGAAGCCGTGGACGTCAAGTGCCACTTTGTTAGATGCCAGTGATTTCTGTGGCTTGCATTGGGAGCCGGTACTGCTATGTCATGCTCGTTTGTGAAGGTACTGCTCGATGATTGGGTGCAGTCCTGCTACGCGATGTATTTCCTGTTCCAAGTCCTATGGTGGCTCAGCCACGAATACTCTTTTCTCGTGCTTTGGCCACCTGCTTTCTCGTCCCGTTTCTCGTTAGCATTGTACGCTTGTTACCAGTTGTGTGTAATTAGCTTTGCGCGTGATGTGCATAATGTTTTTATATTACCCATACCTTTATGCTGTAGGTAACGGAGCCAGCATTCCCATGTCTTTGTGGACAGTGCCTTCGTTGCAAACTCGTGCCGCTCAGCTGCTGGCAGTGTCTTCTCGCAACCTGTTCTGCGCCAGCACTCGCATGCTGGGCAGGTACCCGTTCGGTCACATGCACTTGGTGGTGATGCCGCGCTCGTTTGGCTGCCTCGGTCTGGCTAAGTAAGTAGGCGACTATCGGTAATACATGTCTGGGAAATGTGCATGTGTACGTATGTGTCGACCTTGTGCAATCTCACCATTCCCCCATTGATCTACATGTGCATGTAGTTCTTGTACTGTTTCCGTATTTCCCTTATGTTTGTTTTGTCGGTCTATTCGTACTCCACCTCTCATTTACTTGTCTCTCTGTTTTTCTTTCTCTGCCTTTCTTTCTCTCGCATGTGTGTGTGTGTGTGTGTGTGTGTGTGTGTGTGTGTGTGTGTGTGTGTGTGTGTGTGTGTGTGTGTGTGTGTATGTGTGCAGTCCGCATATGGCCTTCCTGTCGCCGTCGTTGCTGACCGATGCCGCGTACACTGACCTGCGCGTTGCCCACGAGTTCTCGCACTCCTGGTTCGGCTTGGACATCGGCGCTAGCATCTGGACGGAGGAGTGGCTGAGCGAGGGATTCGCCACGTACTGCGAGGACCGTATCTATACTCTGTGTCAGGAGGTAGGTATTGCTTGTATTCTTTTTTTTACTTTGCAAAGTTAAACGGGATTATAGCCCTATAATATGATAGTGAATGGTTGGGGGGGGGGGGGGGGAGGCATTGCATACAATACTGTCGGGGGCCGAGGAACGGAGCACCGAAGAACGACCAGGCTAGAATTTCACCAAGCACAGCATACAAATGAACACACGGAGACTTAACTGTACATAGACTGTAATACATGAAAATAAGAACGGTCTATGCTAGGAGCCTGACCCCCCCCCCCCCCAGTTCTTCGGTGACCATCAGTACTGTAATCATTATAATGTCGTGGTAGAATGTGTCAGTATTAGGAGGGATAAAAGAGCAGAAGAACGGCAGAAGGCTAAAGGTACCGCATTCTCCGTAGTATGATGTGCACTTTGGATGCACCGATTGCGGCCCGAATCTCACTTGTGTGTGCCGCTTTCCTCTGGATATCAGAGAGTGTGTGAAAATGTATTGAATGTGCCTTGAGGAGTCCCGAGTTTGGTTGAAAAGGGAGTCGTACTCTTTATTCTGTTGCTCATTGTACTCTGGTGTATACCGTATTTTCCCGAATATAAGTCGACCTTCTGTGCGCCAGAAATTTCGCCGAAAGCTTGGGGTCGACTTACAAACGGAACTCGACTTACATACGGGAATCAGGCACAACAAATGAAGTGACTGGAGTGTCCGTACAAAAATGCACTACCGTACGAACCATGTGAACATTGGATGACACTGGTTTTGTTCAGATTTTGTCTTACTGGCATGATATGATCTCTCCTCGCAGAGAATTCATCATTTTGTATGTGTGGGTGTCATAGAGCTATAAAAACTTCTTTTTTTCATGAAATTGACTCCTGGATTTGGGGTGGTCGACTTATATTCGGGAAAATACGGTATGTTCTGCACAGTCTAAGAATTGTCGCAATCTGAAAATTCCCAGATTGCCTGTGCAGTCTGCAGATTGCTTGTACATTCTGGGAATTTTCAGACTGTGCAGATAATGATTGAATTCGCGGCGCGGAGACAATAACTGTATTATGGCAACCAGAAGAATCAGCAAAGCGGATATTTGTACGTGAGACATATTTCCCTGATGAACGTCTCTTGAAAATCTGTTAGGAAATTCTGTTATTCATATTTTCTTCTTGTTGATTCCTACGTACAGTGTCCGCTTCTCTGATTCTTCTGATTGCTGTGATTAAGATAATGATTGCTTTCACATTCTGGGAAGAATTTTCAGATTGCGCAGATAATGATTGCTTGCGCTTTCTGGGAATTTTCAGCTTGCACAGCGCAATCTGAGAATTCCCAACAGATCGGTGCAGGGTTGTGCACTCTGCAAATTTCCAGATAGACGAGGAGGAAGGTGTGCTTAGAGAATGGAATAATAAAAGTAACTCTTAAACTCGGGGATGCTTTCGAGCGAAACCTAGCCAGTGCACTGGCAGGTGAAGACCTGACCGATGTCATAGTGGGGAAAGCTTGCCGGCTCAAAACCCCTCCATCCAGGGCCTGGATCCGCGCTCGTATCACCATCCCGACAAGACTCACCATGTACGCCCTGATTGCACGGTGCAGTCACACTGCCTAGGTTTCGCTCGAAAGCATCAGTGTAAGTACTGATGCACCCACATTGCCTATCAGCGCTGTGGCCCTTGCAAGTGCAGTGTCACTGCACTTGCCCAGTCATTGATGGACTTTGCCCAAGACCATGGCTGAAGTGCCTAGCTGCTTTACGCAGGCAAACGCGCGGGGCCACGTCAGAACCGCTCACATCCACACCCAACACACTACTCCTTGAAATGGCTGCAGGCAAGACGCGTCATACAGAGTGTCCAACACACCCAACTCACAGCGAAGGCGGTACATTGTCCACTTACCACCCATCACTTCAACTACATGCACAACGCATGACCATCTTAGTGGATCCGTGGCCATCCTGTCAATCCGGGGCACTGCGACACTAACAGCCTGCCCAGGTCTGAATCTCACAATCTTCTTTCCTTTCTGGGTGCTAAACTTACTCGTAATGAGCTCTGCGTTTTGCAAGTAATGGACATTTGCTTACTGGCACACTGAAAAGTTCTTTTCAGCAGACTGTAATAGGACACTCGAGGGTGAATCCTCACTCTCAGTGTCATTGATCTGGACAACATCATCCTCTTCACCAGCAGAGCTATTCCCAGGACGGTCGACCCATGCTCACCTACATGACTCACAGACTCACAACTGCACTCAACCTCACTTGACCGTGTGGAAAAGCACTACTCCTACCTCTACTCAGACTCCCCACTGCACTGGCAGCAGGAGAAATGCCTGAACAACCGACACCATCTTGCATACAATCAGAATCAAGTACTTCTCCTTTCATCATTACCAGCAATTATATGACATCCCACAGAGTCCGAAGTTCCGTAAAATATTTGCGCATTTCCTGCAGAGATTGATCTTGGAAGGAAGAAAATTGCTCCGAACTATGGCCATAATCGAAATGTAAGGCATCAAACCAGTGAACCACGCCAAGACAAACAGTTACACAACGCAAAAAACGAATGTGAAAAACATTGAACAACCGATGCGATCTCAACTCCTAAGAATCATGATTTTCTTCTCCACTGAAAAGTATCTGTTACCTTGGTGATCTTGAGGAAATAGCAAGAATTGACCTTCTTCATGGTCATTTCTGAAGCTTTCTCCAAATATTGTCAGCCAACAAACCGCAGCATTGTCACCTGGCTAGTCTGATCTCTGTCCTCAAGAAGGACCAGTTCCAAAAGATTGCAGGTCCAGTGCGCTTTCTAGCTTCAAAGATCTAGGAAATCGCCTCATTCTGCACATTTCAAGCAGCTTCTCAATTGTTTCTGGCTTGACATTGAACAGCAAGAAGATGAAAAGCACTTCTTTCTCAGTTTTTTCGAGTAAACTACCTCTCAACACCGCGTGGCTTTCTCTGAAGGCCATTTTGTAGGCCATGGTGGAGCTTGCAGAGATGGACGACTCGGTCCTGCAGTGTTCTGGCCTTCAAGCTGTGGAAGCGAGCAGGAAGCCTTTTCTGCATTTCCTCCCACACCTTGGATCCACGTCGAAATGGATTCTGATACGTGGTGATCTTTCGAAGCACCGCCATATCAGCCACGCTGAAGCGGAACTTGGCTGGCGTTGCTGGAGCCGGAATCTCAACAACTTCACCCATGACGGACAACTCGGTCCCGCAGTGTTCTGGCCTTCAAGCTGTGGATGCGAGCAGGACGCCTTTTCTGCATTTCCTCCCACACCTTGGATCCACGTCGAAATGGATTCTGATACGTGGTGATCTCTCGAAGCACCGCCACATCAGCCATGCTGAAGCGGAACTTGGCTGGCGTTGCTGGAGCCAGAATCTCAACAACTTCACTCATTACGGACGACTCGGTCCCGCAGTGTTCTGGCCTGCAAGCTGTGGATGCGAGCAGGACGCCTTTTCTGCATTTCCTCCCACACCTTGGATCCACGTCGAAATGGATTCTGATACGTGGTGATCTCTCGAAGCACCGCCACATCATCAGCCACGCTGAAGCGGAACTTGGCTGGCGTTGCTGGAGCCGGAATCTCAACAACTTCACCCATGACGGACAACTCGGTCCCGCAGTGTTCTGGCCTTCAAGCTGTATGTGCGAGCAGGACGCCTTTTCTGCATTCCCTCCCACACCTTGGATCCACGTCGAAATGGATTCTGATACGTGGTGATCTCTCGAAGCACCGCCACATCATCAGCCACGCTGAAGCGGAACTTGGCTGGCGTTGCTGGAGCCAGAATCTCAACAACTTCACTCATTACGGACGACTCGGTCCCGCAGTGTTCTGGCCTGCAAGCTGTGGATGCGAGCAGGACGCCTTTTCTGCATTTCCTCCCACACCTTGGATCCACGTCGAAATGGATTCTGATACGTGGTGATCTCTCGAAGCACCGTCACATCAGCCACGCTGAAGCGGAACTTGGCTGGCGTTGCTGGAGCCGGAATCTCAACAACTTCACCCATGACGGACAACTCGGTCCCGCAGTGTTCTGGCCTTCAAGCTGTATGTGCGAGCAGGACGCCTTTTCTGCATTCCCTCCCACACCTTGGATCCACGTCGAAATGGATTCTGATACGTGGTGATCTCTCGAAGCACCGCCACATCATCAGCCACGCTGAAGCGGAACTTGGCTGGCGTTGCTGGAGCTGGAATCTCAACAACTTCACTCATTACGGACGACTCGGTCCCGCAGTGTTCTGGCCTGCAAGCTGTGGATGCGAGCAGGACGCCTTTTCTGCATTTCCTCCCACACCTTGGATCCACGTCGAAATGGATTCTGATACGTGGTGATCTCTCAAAGCACCGCCACATCATCAGCCACGCTGAAGCGGAACTTGGCTGGCGTTGCTGGAGCCGGAATCTCAACAACTTCACCCATGACGGAAGACGGAGCACTCCAGTAGACAGAGGAAATGACGGTAGCACAATTGAAGTCAAACTGAAAGAAAACCACGGACCTCCACCACGTTCTCCACTTCTGCGTTACCTATGTACTCACTGCTACTGCTATGGCTACGGCTATGGCTCTATGGCTTGGTGTCTTGCTAGAAACTGTTGCAAAATAAGGATCCACGAGCGGGATTCGAACCCAGCACCCCTGTCTTTCCGGGACAGTGCCCTACCGATTAGGCTACCGGGGATCACACACACACTCATGGGTCCTTCTTGCTACACTGCTCCCCCGCCCCAACAGGCCGTGTCCTCACGCCGTACCTACTCGCGGGGGTACGATGGGTCGTGGGTTTGAGCCATTGCCAGGCGCCAATGTTGCAAAAGAAGGATCCACGAGCGGGATTCAAACCCAGCACCCCTGTCTTTCCGGGACAGTACCCTACCGATTAGGCTACCGGGGATCACACACACTCATGGGTCCTTCTTGCTACAAAACGTTGTCTGTTGCCGTGCGCATGAAATGGTATCCATGTACAACTTTTCCTATGCGTCTCTCTCTCTCTCTCTCTCTCTCTCCCTCGTACTGGGGTTTAATGTATTTGTAGGCAGCGGGAGGTGATGCGGTGATGCTGCGGCAATTGAGTGACATTCGTCTTCGTCTCAAGCTCAACGTCTTGGCTGCCGAAGTTGACCACACCGACACCACACTGCAAGTCCTTGTGTACGTACATTGCCTGTGTCAGAGTTCTGTTTTCCTGCTGACGCTTTAATTAAATGAAACACAACGTAACTGCCATTTTATCATCCACTACAAAACACATTTACCGGTACTGGCGAGCTCAGCATGTGTGGTATCATTGACTGCTATCTGTGCCCTTTGTGGCAATAGCATGACAGCTGGTGCGTTGCTGGTGTAATGGTTAGCATAGTTGCCTTCCAAGCAGTTGATCCGGGTTCGATTCCCGGGCGACGCACGTTTTTTTTCTTCATCCTGTTCAGTTCTGTGGACTGACCGTCTAAGGACAGTCTTTGCTCTTCACGTTCCTTCGTGACTGTGTTGGAAAGAAGATGTTCTGTTTTCTTTTCCTATCTTCGTAGTGGTGATCCAGAAAGTCAGGATCGTGTCGTCAACGCACTTCGAGAGGAGAAGCCCTTCCAGCAAGTCCACTATATCAAGGTAAGTGGTGGGTCTCGCCTGGTATCGCCGTACACTGGCCGTGGCGATGTGCGTGCGTCTGCATTCGTGTGTACTTGTGTCCGTCTGCATCCACGTGTGTGCGCGCGAGGGCAAGCACATGTGCATGCATGGTTCGTGATAGTGGTTGTAGGATAGCCACGGACGGTCTTGCGTCAATACTATACTTGGCTGAACACTCGATCACCTAGTGCTGTAATGTTTAGTTTGGTTGCTTATTTTCTGCTCCGTTCAGGGATACTTGCTTCTGTGCCACATGGCGCAGCGAGTTGGTGTTGAAACCTTCGACCGCTTCCTGGCAAGAGTGACAGAGAAGTTTAGTGGCAAGAACATCTCATCCAGGGTTAGTACCATCTCAAATGATACCTCTCAGTTTTGCTTGTCTCCTCGGCTGTTTGATCATATTGTGATGTTATTACGTTTTTGTCACCATGCACGCAACTGCTCAAATTCCACTACGGCCATCTTATTTCTTCAATCCTCAACAGAGATAGGCTTATGTCAGAGGTAGGATGGGTGTGTGGGAGGGGGGGGGGGGGGGGGGAGAGCACAGTATGTATGGCCATCGTATGATAGTGTAAATTAATCCACCGCCACCAACACCACTTTCAGAAAGGCATTCTCTTCAATGGACAGTTTTTTTCATCGCTACTGCAAATTCCCTGTAGTGATGTCCAGGATTTGTCTCGACTGTCACAGCTTCTGAGCACCACGAAGAGAACTATTGGTGGGTTGTTGAAACTGTTGGTCGTTTATCATGCACTCCAGTCTGCCAAACCCTGCTGTTTTGTTTTGTTGCAATGTGTGCACAAACTGGTTATCTGAACAGGTCATCCTGAATTTCTTCTTTGAAGAGGAGGGCGCACCTTTCCGGTAATTTGGATGTCTGACTACCCGGTATTCGTCCTTCTCTCTTCTCCGTCTTCTTCTGTGTCTGTTTACTTGTTGGGAGGGAGTTTCTCATTTTCCTTTCTTCCGCTGTGTAGACTCTCCCTCTGTTTCATGTTGGCACCTATTAGTATGCGCGTGACCCTCTGTGTGGAAATCACACTAGCATACACCTGCTCACCTTATGATGCTGTTGGGTATCTCCTCCCGTACGTTCTACAACCTTTTCCAAGCTGGCCTGCATGCACGCTCGTACTCACCTTTTGTCTCCTTTCGTCACCTTTTGTTCCGTTGGCCTGGGTAGCTACCTGCGCGCCCATATTTGCCATAGCTAACCGGGCCCTTTATCTTGCATTCGCCCTGACTCGATCTCTCTCTCTCTCTCTCTCTCTCTCTCTCTCTCTCTCTCTCTCTTTCTCCCTCTCTCTCTCTCTCTTTCTCTCTCTCTCTCTCTCTCTCTCTCTCTCTCTCTCTCTCTCTCTCTCTCTCTCTCTCTCTCTCTTCCATAATGTAGTCGTTTCGTTCGGCTTTGTCTCCATCTCTTCGTACCCCGTAATAAATGTCGTTCCACCTACCTGTTACCCTTGTCCGTTGTGTCTGGGAGGAGCACCCTTTCTGTACTCAACAATACTCTCTCCTCTTTACGCCTACAGATGTGTACGTTGAAGTGCGTTTCTGAAAAATTCATAACAATGCACTTACTAGGGTTGCCATTGTCAATCAGCCGACGCCACTGTGCTCCAACGTAAAGCGTTCTGTGCACTCTTTGATTTGCTCAGATCGGAGGAGTTCTGCACAGATCGTCTGGTGGCGGACTGGCTGCAACATCCTGGCATGCCGCCTGTAAGTGATTGCGGAGAGTCTGTAGTATGCGTAGGGCTCGCAAATTTCTATTTTGACGCGGAATTTCATATTCTATTTCGCATTTTATTCATAGCTTGCCACAATTTTTCCAACCATGCTGCGGTCCACTGTTGATTGGGAACTCGTGGCCTGGCTTGCCGGTTACGTAGATGCTGTAAATTGGATTTTCGGTCTTTGACCATGTTACACGATGTGGAGGGTCTGATCTCCCACTGTTTCATGAGCTGTATCTGTGCCTTGATCCTTGAGGGTGGTTGTGTTGATTCGGATGAAGAAGATTCGGTCTAAATGACTTACTACGTTATGCCAGAATTTGCAAGACACGCAAGTTGTAGCTGGACCAGAAATATACCAGAATTGGGATTACAATTTGTAATACCAATTTCTGGCTAGCAAATTTTCTTGCTTACGTACCCTGCCTCGTGTTTTTGTTTATTCTTGCTGCATAGCCCACCCAGCATTTCATAATACATGTACCGTATATTCTCTATTATAAGCGCCGTGCTTATATTTTTTCAACACCCCTCTACCCCGTGCTTATATTGGAGACCGCGCTTATATTGGAGACCGTGCTTATATTTTTTCAACCAATACATCCATACAGAGCAAGAAGAAATACATGCTGGATATCATGCATGCAGCATTGATTTCTACCAAGACCGTGCTAATAATAGAGACTGTGCTTATAATGTTTCGAAAGGTGCTCACAGTGTGCTAGTATTAGAGACCGTGCTAGTAATGGAGACCTGTGCTTATAATAGAGAATATACGGTATCTGTTGGATTTGATATCATTGTACTGTGCCCTTCTTTGCTCTGTGTTTGCCAGTCGACGCATCTCCTTATGCCCGAAGCGGAGAATCAGTGTCTGGCTCGCGTGAATGCAGAGGTATGCGATTAGAAGCGAACCTTGCTCATCCCATAGTTGAACTTCAGGTGTGGCGAAAATCTGCACTTTATAATTTGTCCAAAGTTAGCGAATCCGGCTAACTTTACGTTTACGTTTACCGGAGGATGCACCCAGTGTGCTGACAGTGCTCAACACCATGGCGACAAATTAGCCTTGCTAGCCCCCCTTGCTGTTCTGTGTAATTTGTCCATGGTCAAATGGTGGTATTGCATCTCCATAAGGTGGAGTCCTCGAAAAACAGCACATGTAATAGTGCTGTAGTATGTTGCATACAGGGTATATTATACTGGAGCCTCGCTGTAGTCACTTTCTTAAAGCGATGGTGCGAAAGGTCTCATCAGATTTTCCGGTTTGCTTCTGTGTGTGCTAATTTTGTTATAATCTAAACACATCTTCATCAGGATATTATCCTGATGGCGATGTGTTTTTTTTCATGGAATGCTTGTACATGACTGTATACGAAGTGCATTAAGCTTAGCTGGTTGGGTGCAGTGTGTGTGCAGTGTGCAGCACAGCTCTGGGATGGTTTTGAGATGTGATTTGTGAGCAATCCAGTACCAGGAATGCTCCATGCTTTTGTGTCATACTCAATCCATCTTTTGTGTCATACTCAATCCATCTGTTGCGTCATACTCAATCCATCTTTTGTGTCATACTCAATCCATCTTTTGTGTCATACTCAATCCATCTTTGGTGTACTATGTGTGTGTGATATGTATGGACGTGTGTGTGTGATATGTATGGACATGTGTGTTCAGATAGCCTCACTGTTGAACATGATCCAAGCACCCGGTCAGCACCGAAAGCAGCACCACACCCACGACGGACGCAGTCCCCTGGTAAGCAGTGTTGTTGTGTTTGGGTACAGCATCTGCTGTGTGTGTGTTTGGCAATTTCCACCCAGAGTTGTGTTTTTACCCAGCACATGCACTTACATGTGATTGTATAGTTCGTCTGGTGATGCATATGATGCCATCGTGCAACTCAGAGTTCAAATGAAACCTTCCCGTCCTCTACTGTAAAAGGTGCGACTTATATTCGGGAAAATACCGTACAGGTTCCTGTTTGCTTTCTTCTTCCTAAGGCCACACTTTGTTTTTTCTATGTTTCTCGTCATCGCCCGCGTAGGTTTTCAGAAATTTCGAAGAAAAAAAAAAGTTCATACTACGTAGATCTACATGTATGTACGCTGCACATGCTGCAGCAGCTAGCCTAGATGTGTCAATCAAAAACGTAAACGTTTGCACCACAGCAGCAAAGGAGCGCTCCCCGTCCTATCCGTTCTCTGCGATGAAGGCTGCCATGACAAAGCTTTCAGTCGTTCACTGCCTGAGCCTCGTGGGTCCCAGGAATACCGAAGTCGGACGAGTTCCGTGGCAACTGGCGTCTGTGGAACGATGTCGTGGGCAGAAAACCCCAGCAATAGACGCGTGGCGAGGAAAAGATGAGCAGCGTGGAGAGAAGAGTTTGATAAGCGGACACAAGGACGTTGAAGTAACAAAACCAAAAAAGACCAGTGGGAAAGCGTTTGTTGATGCGATAGCAGATAAATGTATGTTCTCTTCGCCATCTCGTATTTATCAAACTTTATACTCTCATTGTTGCAGTTTGCCTGATATTCGTGGGCTGTAGTGCAATCATGTACATGATTGTACAATGTAGTACTGTATACATGGTATACGTAGTGTCTTGTATGAATCACACATACCGGTATACAAGTACCGGTATACAAGTAAAATGTATCCAGTTTTCAGTAGAAATTGTTCTTGTTTTTTCCTTGGCTTTTGTTTTTTTTCCGCCCGCCCGCATACCTTTTGTTAAAATTTGCCGACGAGAAACATAGAAATAACAAAGTGTGGCCTAACATTGCTCCCCTGGAATGCGTGCTTCTTTCGTTTGTCTTGTCGTCCACGCTTGTACAGGATCTGTCCTGTTTTGAGGTTTGCTGGCTGTTGACACAGTTGGTTCAAGCCGACATCAAGACTCTCCGTGTGTGCTGCATGCGGCACATTCACGCCACGTACAGAATGGAGCAGCGATCTGCTGAGGTACAGGCTGTGCTAGTGATATCACTGGGTTACTGTAATTTCACAAATTTTCGGTGTAATTTTATTTTCGGTACTTTCGGTGCGTCTGTTTCATACCTAAAATTTCAATACACCGAACAAACACTAACACACATAATCCAATAGGGAACTGCTTCTCTGCACCTAACATTTCTGTTCACCTAACCTGGCCTCTTGCCCTCATACCGAAAATATTTTAAAAGCACCGAAAATTTCTGAAACGAGAGAGCTTGGAAGCTCAGGGCCCTACGCTATGCTTTTTTGCCTTGATGACCTAGACAAAAAAAAGCATAGGGATGTTATAAATTCTTACAAGTAAAAAATTCCTTTTTTTTAAGACATAACCTGGGATTCGAACCCGCACTATCGCGCGCCCTGCATGCATCCCCCGATACACTTCGCATACATACTAATTCTTCCAAGTTGCTTCACGTTATGATCTTGAATTTGAAAGCCCTATTTGAATATGCATTGTGGCCAGCCGTCTTTGATGGTACGGTACGGTACGGTACGGGATAGGTACGGGACAAGTACGATCGAGGGTGATACGACACCGTCTACCGCCTTGATGACGGCAAAAAAAGCATAGGGATGTTATTACGAGAGAGCTTGGAAGCTCAGGGCCCTGTGCTATGCTTTGTTGCCTAGCTCATCGTGCATGTTGTTAGAACTGATGGAAATGCTTTTTCCTTTGATTAGCTACATCATTGTATTGCAAAAACGTTTCAATGAGATACTGAAGTAACGTCTTCTGCATAGCTATGGGACCGGCGCTGACTCTGCCGATCACGGGCGTTCTGGAGTCGACGGGATGTCTGTCCTGACGTTTCCTGGGACCGGCGCTGACTCTGCCGATCACGGGCGTTCTTCTTCTTCTTATTATTATACTGACGGCAACTAACATCCATTCTGATTGCATTTACTCGTCTCCCTACTTCGTATTTCTTTCCAGAAAATCTCCCCATACAGCAGGGAGTCGTTTACATAATATGACTCCCTGCTATACATCTACATGACTGTATATACGTTATAAGTATTATGCTATCGGCCTACATGCGATTCCCGGGCTGGTCGACAGGCGGCCCAGCCAGCCTGCTAGTGGGATCTCGGCCTCGCACACAAATCCACACAAAATGTTACTGCACTGAATGCATTCCCCCGATACACTTCGCATATATACTCATTCTCTTGATGGTACCGTACTCTTGATGGTACGGGACAGGTACGGGATAGCGCCAGGCATGTCGATGGCACAAACAAACAAAAATATTGTGGCCAGCTGTCTTTGCTGGTACGGTACAGTACGGGACAGATACGGGATAGCGCCAGGCGTGACACAAACAAACAAACACCAAATTAAAGCTGTGTGGACCCTGGCTAGCGCCAGACGTTACTGAAGTAACGTCTTCTGCATAGCTACGGGAATTATTATTATTATTATTAGACACAATCTCATAGCATGTGACAAGCATAGCTAATGCAGGGACAGAATCCCCTGAGACAAGGGCGTTGAGCCAGCCACGGCAATAGTAAGCTAGGAAAACAAAGCAAATATGATTTAAAGCAAAAAATGAATGGAAAATTACAAAGAAAAACGATTAACGGAAGTGAGCACTATCAAAATTCGTGCATCACCCAGGTATTCGAGAATGTTCTTCGATAATAATTATTGCGTCTAGTTCAGTTGTGATAGTAGATCTTTAAACTGACCAATAGAAGAACAAGTTTTCAGAGATGCTATAAATTAATTCTCCTATTTTTTTTCAGGCATATCCTGGGATTCAAACCCGCACTATCGCCCTACATGCATTCCCCCATACACTTCGCATTCATACCCATTCTTCCAAGTTGCTTCACGTTATGATCTTGCGTTTGAAAGCCCTATTTGAATATTGCGGCCAGCTGTAGGTGGCCAGCTGTGTTTGATGGTACGGTACGGTACGGGACAGATACGGGATAGCGCCAGGCGTGACACAAACACACAAACAAACACACAAATACCAAATTAAAGCTGTGTGGACCCTGGCTAGCGCCAGACGTTACTGAAGTAACGTCTTCTGCATAGCTACGGGAATTAAAGTATACTTGCATGTGTGAATGACATCATTGGGCTATACGTGCATGTGTGAATGACATCATAGGGCCAGAGGCTTGGCAAGTGGCGTGTCTGTTCTGTGGAATCTCAGAAATCCGACCCTGTTCCGGACCGATCTAAGTGGTTGCACTTCTGAGGTGTTCTATACGGGTCTATACAGTTTGTGAGTGTGCATATGAGAGAGCCTAGCACCGAACCAGGAAGTTGCCATATCTCTGCGGTGGTTTGTAGAAGTAAGGTGGCCGGAGACCAATGTTCATCGATATAGGCTTTGTAATGAAGTATAATGAACGACAAAACATAGGCTAAGTAAAAGTGGGGAGGCTTCCTGCAGTTTCATAAACAGTTCAGAGTAGAGCCTACACGCTCTCTTCCATTGACACTGCAATAGTTCAACTCATTTCACAATAATCATTCCAACGTTTCGGCAAAGGCTTTCATGTGAAAGGGGGAGGACCAAATGTTATGAGTTTTGACGTGAATGTTATAGGCTCACCATCCGGAGCTGACACTGGCTTTCAGTTTTTAATGAGTAGCGCACGTCTGGTTGTGATACCTCTCTGTGTTCCTTTACCTGGGAGGTACCCCCCCCCCCCCCCCCCCAGCCAGGTGAAATGTGTACGTTACAAGTCAAGTCACTGAAGTATCTCATGCTTGACTGACTAGGAGCATGCTTAACTCATGGTGTTGATTCTGGTCTGCTGTCTATCATTCTTTCCAGGAGCGTCACATTTGGTGTGAACTTATCGTCAAGCACCGGTATGCATTCGTGTCCGTGTGTGTGTTTATGCACATCGGCTTATTCTAGTTTGTAATTAGCGTCTTGTGCGTGCACTGAAATGCATGCTTGTGTTGATAGTATTAATGTCACTTTCCATGTAGGCACGGTCCATACCATGCTGCTGCACTGCTTCGACCTACTGACCGTCATGCACTTCTGGTCCATTGTACCTACCATATTTGCTGTGTTTCCAAAGTCTACTGCGTACTTGGGATGCATTACTCAGGGCCGTAGCACCGAGATTTCCGATGGTCCGGCCAAATGCGATACTAGTACTTGACCGGAAATAAACATAACCTAAACCTCCTTTTCATGAGTTGAGTGGGTCAATTAAGGTGCGGTGATGGCCAGATCGACGGGATCGTGTGCTACGGCTCTGCCACTGGTGGTTGAGGCTCATTATACTCAGGCTATGAGATGTATTGTATCCATTTTTGTGCAGATTTTGATCAAAGAGTGTGCCGATCCTACATCATTTGTACTGTTCTCCTTCTGCGTTCTTGATCCTAATCCAGCTGTCAGTCTTTCTACGGTGATGTGGAGAAATTCCTACGTGAAGACCAGGTAGGTGTTTGCATGTTGTGCTGCTAGGCATCGAGGATTCTGTCCTGCTACATGTATTGCGTGTGAGATGACACTGCTAGACAGATGGCTAGCTCAGCGCTACTCTACCTGAACCCTAGCCGTTTTCTTTTGATATAAGTATACCGTTGCTTTTTCTCAATCCCTTGGCTGAACCTGTGCTGGTGTATCACCGTACGGATATCAAGCTTTTACCGAACTCACTCTCTCTCTCTCTCTCTCTCTCTCTCTCTCTCTCTCTCTCACTCACTTATCATCACCATGTAGTCTTTCGTCTCTCTGTCTTTCCCCTCGTCATCTCCCCCAATAAATGGCTTCCCTGACCGACCTCATCCATGGCTCGGTGTGAGTGTGGAACTATGGGACTTTCCCTATCTCAACAACATACATGCACATGTAGCTCTAAAGATCAGTGCCCAAACATCACTATTACCATAAATTTCCTTCTCCATGTTTTGTTATCTGTCTTGTTAACCCCAGGGAATGGGTGTGTATCTTTACGGAGAGCTCATCCTCACCCGCCAGAAGAAAGCTCAGAAACTGGCGGTGGACGTCTTCCAGAGCCTGCAAGAGGAGCTTGACGAGGATGCTCGGAAAGTCGTGCAGGGCATGCTTGAACCGCTGCTTGATGAGCAGTAGAAAAGGTGAGAATGGTCACTTTCATTTCAGGCATTACCATTGAACAACTGACCACTGAACTTCGTCAGTTTTGCCTCCAGATTGATTATTGTGTTGCGTTTGATCCTCGAACTGAGTGTGCGAAGTATGCTACGTGTGCTACCCGTGTGTTATTTATTTTCACTTTAATACCCTTAACTTATTTCTTTATTTCCAACTTCCGACCAGGCGTTCTCTTATCTCCAGCTGCGAGTCCTTTTCATCTTTGCTTGCTTTGTGTGACTGTCGTAACTCTTACTCATCCTGCCCACCTGTTTATGGCCGGTTTTTGGTTTTCTGTGCTTCTTCTTGGTGTTCCCTGGCTTTGTAGTCGGTTTAAGATTTCTTTTCTTTTTTGTTTTGTAGTTTCATCTTTTACTCATCCAGCATAGGGCCTTCACTGCACCAGTGGATTAGGATAGCAATGTAACTGCAGTATAGTGTGCTTCCAACGGACATAACCATGCGTACTTTATGCCCGGGGTACTGTACTGTACTGTGCATTCAATATCAAGTGACTCAAGTGAAAGGATACCCAGTGCCCTAAAACAGGAAGTGAACAAAGTAGTCGCAGCATGCATGCACGTAGTGTGATCTCTTAAACGATCACCACCACCACAACCCCGGTTTTACACTGCGTTTTGAATAGTTAGTATCTCCAGAGAGATGATGAATTGGCTGCAGCAGAGCCTACGAAGATATTGAGGAAGGAACGTACATAGCGTGCTTTCGGAATTGACTCTCTTCATTGTTTTGCCTCTTTATGAACAAGTTACAGGGCGTGCATGTACTGATTTAAGTTGGACACGGAGACTAGGACTGATGGTGTCGATTTGGATAAGAATTAGCGTGACCTGCTGGGACCCCGATGACGGTCACCAAACTGTACTTTGACTGAGCAGTCTGGCTGCAGTACGAGTGGTAAGAGCTTGTGTGTGTGTGTCCGTGGGTCATCTGTCTGCTTGGTCAGTGTTGGAGATGTACCTACCTGCTCTTTTGCTAGCATGGAGACCAGGACTGATGGTGTCGGTTTGGATAAGAATTTAGCGCGACCTGCCGGGAGTAAGAGCTTGTGTGTGCCCGTGGGTCATCTGTCTGCTTGGCAATTTTGCTAGCTGTTCCTAGCTGCTCTTTGTGTTTTACTCGTATACTCACACGGCGTGCACTGGAAATCACTGGCTATGTAGTGTGTAGTGTGTACACTGAGGCTGCGCAGCACTGTGTACAACAGACGATAGAGGAGACCAGTATCATCGTCACCCTGGTCAGGCAGCGTGGTCTTACAGTCTAGCTGCACGCCGGTACCGTTTAAGCATATGCACGAGAACAGTGCATTGTGCATCCTGCGACAATAATAATCCATGCACGTGATCGTACCGTACGGTTACAGACCCTACCCGGCCACACTACTTAGTTACTTACTCGTACACCACCGATCTCTGTGATCTTGGGTAACTCAAGCCGTCATGCCATCAAAGTGCTCTCGGCTGTGTTACGGATTGGGCCCAGTGTATCCATTAATAGATTGAGCAATAATCTCGGTAATTAAGCCTTCATCACAACACGCTCAATACAGCTTACTTCTAGTAGTATTGTATGCACTACCGCCACATGATTCCATGAAGTTCTGAAGTATTCTCTGATTATTTGCCTTAAAAAGCAGCACAACTCGAGCTAGTCGTATTGTTCCTCAATACAGATGAAGTCCAGTGTTATAATGGGAAGTTTCGGGAAACATGATGCACACATGTACACGCAGTGCTGATACATGCTGTTGCGACAAGGTACATTGTACATGCTTGATTGAGTGACAAGGTACACTTACAAATTAATTATTATTAACAAAAAAACATGGAGCTGTATGTAGTGAGTGAGGGACATAATTATACGCTTGCACCCACCCACACCGACACACACTGGTGGCACATGCGCAGCTGGTAGCAGTGCATTCGTGCAGCTTGATGTGGCAAGGCGAGTGTATAAGATACTGACTGGCTAAGTAACAACTTTGCAATAGAAAAGGGACACGGTTTACTGGGAATTCGGATTTAGCATCTTATTACTTTCAGTTATGGTACAGCTAGCAACGTGTAATCTAAGTATTGGTTTATGTTTCTCTCAACTTGCCAATGGTCAGACATTATTTTCTCGGAAGACAATCGGGTAATGTGACATAAAAATCAAGGAATAGAGGAGGCCGTGTGAAAGGGTCGTCAGAGGTTGAATGCACTGCTCCGTGGCAATGTCCCCTTCGTGACTTGGAGCACATGCTCTGTGCTGAGTGTGCTACTACAGCGTTCAGTTTCTGCCCGGTCGCATTATCCGCAGCAGCTCAGCAACACGCTGCTCGTTAGCTGCAGCAAGTGAAATGAAAAGACACGCACACACACACGGAGAGGCCAACGTTACTGCATGTTCAATCCCATATTGACAACATTATCATGCCAGAAGTTATCGGCTTTGAGCGGCCTTCTGAAACAGAGGGAGCATGACAAGTAGAACGGGAAAGTGCTAATGGCATACGTGACAAATCCGAACACACTCAGTGTGCGATTGCACTTGAGCATTTCGATGCACGGCCTGGCTTTGGTGACACACTATGTTGGTGATTTGCACTGCGTCACGTCCCTGCTACAACCCACTGGTGCGGAGACTGAAACCCACCGTGATCTTATGGCCACTGCAGCAGCAGTCAGTGCACATCACTGTTCACTTCTTCTTACCTTTGCACTCCTTTTCTCTTCTGCTCTTCTCCGACGTGACATGCTGCAGCTGCTTGCGTAGATCATCTAATGAGACGTGGCAGATATCGACAAAAACAAACACACTGATTAGTTCTGGAATTGTTGATTGACTGTATTGAACCACTGGACAAGCATTAGCTGGTAAACATCTTGAATCCGAACAAGATCCATTGCAACTCGAATGTTAAAATTTCAGTTTCTAAAGTATCATACCAAGCTCCTTTTCCATTGAGTTGATCGTGTTCAGGAGGGAGTTCATTTCAGAGTCTGCAAAGAAACACCGACAAAAAGCACACAAGTAAGACATTTGCAGGAATGTAAAATGAACAGTTACGATCCTTTCCTCACACTAAAGACTTGTAGTCTGTGGGGACTGCCCTAGTAATTATAATAAAATAAATACTGGGCAGAAATCCTTTTTCATCCACGTTACAGTTTTCAAAGTGACAGCGCACGGTAGTTTCTAAACTCACTGGACACGATAACGGGCAGCATGTAGTATATACTGTATGTACCTTGTTACGGAATCTCAGCCACTCCGTTCCCCGGGACGCAGGGCACAAAGGACAAGACTGGTTTGTTTTACATTATATTATTGACATTACGGAAATGAAGACTATACTCAAGGAGACGAACAAGAAGACTGACAAAAGGACTCTCGACTACAAAATCGCGCATGCTCATATCACACATGCACGCGACTAGACGAGACAGTTTGGGGAATGCCATCACACAGGAAAACAGCACATCATTTCATAACAACCTGGACAGAATAATAGGGGAATTAAAGCACTGTGTGGTTCTTCCATGCTGCTGCTATCTCCTTGAAACTAACCTTCTGCCTGCGGCCCATACTCAGTCTCCATTGCAACACCTGGCTGTGACTGATCCGCCGAGGGTCTGAACTCGTTGAGCGGTTGTGTGATCACCTCCTGCTCCGTCAAGGCGTTGTTGGGCTGCTGTTGTTCCTCTTCCTGTATGCTAGGGAAATTAGTTTGCGGTGCTAAGGGCTGCGCTTCCACTGTTCTGGCAGCCGGTGCCGTGTCAGCGTTGACCTGTGGCTCGATTCGGATCTTTCTCGAGAACTGCCTCTTGCCACTCACTCCGTTTACTCGCACGTACAAGCCGGGATTCGGCAGGAGATAACCGAACGCAGTCCCTGCCTTTCCATCCCGCCGCTGTGTCGGTGGTCCTGGCTGTTTGTAGAGGAGCTGAGTGACCATGTCCTTGCTGTCGAGAACCTCTACGGTGCTGATTAGTTCTGCAATGTCCTGCGGCACAACCAGCAAGTTGAAGTCGCCTGCACAGGGAAGAGAAACACCGCGTCTTTTAGCATTGCAGAAGCCTTTTCAAAACATGCCAGTGGATGGGACAACCTGCCCCTTTCCAAGGTCTCCCTTGCACAGTAAGCTCACAGGATCCAGTACACCTCAATGTATGTGAAATGGGCCTAGCATAGGTCATACTGTACAGAAGTCGTGCAAGCTGACTTCTCGCGTACATCTACTGAGTACTCGCAAACTATATCACCCTAGTCTAGGTTGTGCTGCAGCGGATTCTGCACACAGTACGTACTGGTACTGGTATCTATACGGTATGAGCAGAACTAGTCTTGAATCTAATTTTGTCTTTTTCATCCAAGGAGGTTTCGGACTAAATTTTATACCGAGCTAGCATCGATTTGTCCAGCTTTTCAATATGTTCTGCGGACCGTGGACGAAGATTTACACCAGACGAACTCCGATTCTTTGGTGTTTGATGGAATTATTATCGTATGTCAACTGAATGTTTTGCTGGTCACGTTACCTTGTGCTGGCTGTGTGGTGATCTGTCCGGCACTGGCTCCTACTGACATTGCCCATTCAAGTGTCAGCTGGTCTTCCGGAGTTGCCTTAGAGGTTTCTTCGGCCTGCTGGGTGGACCCGGTGACGTACGTCACGCACTTCTGGTTACCCTTCGACGTCGTTTTCATCCTCCACGTGCCGGCGTTCGGCTCGTCCTTGTACGCGAGCGCGCTGCTTCGCAGGTGGCGCCATATGGTGCCACGGTAGTTAATGCGGTTTGGCGGCGTGAGCTTCACTTCTGGGACTTTTGTGCCGTTGCAGCTGACGCTGACACTGATCGCTCGGATGCTGGCGTCCACGTCGAAGTATGTGTAGGCCATCTCACCTCTCTGCATCTCGCCCTGGCAGAGACAAGTGGTAAATTTACAATACATTGTCCATTAGTTATCGCTGTCCGGAATTCATAGGCAATATTGAAATGAAGCCAGGCAAGCAGCATTGTCATGCTGACATTCATCTCTGTTTCTACATGATTGCATTGATCATAATTGCCATTCTTAGATGAAGAGCAGCTAGGAGAACACATGTTTGCTGCAGAGCACTTTCATTACTTTTCTATGATGCAATGGTCATGCATACGAACAGAATCGTACGCATGCTTTGTTGTGCTGGCTATAGTTTAGGCCCATTATGTCAGAGCTTGATATTCGTTTCTGCTCTCCAACCTATTTTACTCTCTCACCTCCTTGCGCACGAGTTGTCTGCTCGGATGATGGACAATGCTCTTGCGTACGTACTCAGCCACACGCCGCTCGTCAGTGCGGCGTACATACATCAGGTTACCGCCCGTTGCTTTTGCAATACTGCTCAATACACTTGTGGACCTGCAGTCGGTGCTAACGAAGATGTTGATCTGTGCACGAGGCAATAATGAGAAGTGCACAGAGCAGTGCCATATGAACACTGGTTATTTCCACTGACGTGAATAGAGAAGATGTGACTGGCATCATCGTATACGCCTTGTATCGAGCAAATTACACCATAATATGTGTCACATCGTGGAAATGACATCGCATGTATCCATACTTGCCAACCCAGCCAAAGCAAATCCCTTAGTCACACACCCAGTTTCCCTTAATTTTCTCTCATTTCCCTTATTGTCCCGGTTTTCGCCAATTTCGGCCATTTTCTCTTTTTTTGGGCAATTCTGATTATTTGTTTTGCGTATTTTCCGCAATTATGTGGCAATTATTTTCTTTCTCTTTATTCATTTCTAACACATTGCTCATTGGGGGTCCTTGGGGGACTAAAACTTGAGTCTCTTTCCTGTCAGATCGCCCCTACATGTGTGATTCTGTGAAATGCAGGGCCGCATGTGCCCTTGTCACACGGACTCACACCTCAAAACAACCTTTTTTTTTATGAACACTCAAGGTTCAGTGCCAATACCGGTAGTTTTCGATCAAAGTCAAAAATCCCCGGTATGCCTGTAGTGACCGTAGTTTCCCGGTATAATACCGGGAAAACCGGTATGGTTGGCAAGTATGTATACATTGCATGGAGTAGCAATCAGGTGCTTGTGATGTTTCTCCACACGGAAGAACTCAACTGATGATCAAGTGACATAACCTCTTTTGTGATGTACACTGTTTGCAAAAGATCTTCCAAGCTATCGGAGCTCTCGATTCATCCGGTCGACATTATTGTGAGGGATCTTTCTCTCTAGAACCTGCCCCCCCCCCCCCGGTCTTAAAGGCATGTGCCTTGGTACTATAAACATTCTACGTGCCAGCACAATGTTGGAAGTGTATCCCGCTGAAGAACGTACCAGAAGGCAAGTAGGCAATGGCTGATTACACTGGTTTATGCCAGCTGACAGTCAGGCTAGGTCATATTGCATGGCGGCTTTTGTTTGTTCCACTCTTTCGTTTGTTCCATTGCGGATCATTCTTATTGTAGTTTCACTGGCTTATTTAGTCCTCACAGCTGTTCTGGCGACGTATTGTTCAACTGACAAGCGTAACACTTCTGACTTTCTAGTGATTGCTGGTATGCTAAACAACACTAACTTAATAGTTAATGTATGCAAGTGTGAATCAATTGACATTGTGGACTAATGGCGGCTGGAGCCAGAGCGCACATTGTATTAGCATCATTAACGTGAGTCGCATGCTGCATTACAGTTGACGCAGAAGTGCCCGCACGGGGCGTTACCGCATGCTCTGTGCGTCCGCCTTTGAGGACTAATGACGTGAGTACTGTGCCCCCGCAGGTTCTTTCACTTGCTATCCGTTTGCTTTGTTGATCCGGGTTTGGCATGCGTATGGGGCGTACTCCCTCACATTGCCGCTAGCGATTAGCATTGTCTTCACTTTGTACAAGGTCTTGACTTGTTTCTAGTATGGAGGGGGCTCACACCAAGATCACCAGATTAAAGCCCCCAGCAGTACTTGTGATGGAGAGAGCGGTAAGTGCCCCCAAGTGTCCAGTGACAGTAATGTGTCCAGCTATGTCCTTTTTTTCAGTGATCTTGTAGCGTGGAAATGGGTTTTGAGTGTCCGAGATGCATCAGTTTGCACTGGGGATTACCATCAGAGGAGTAGATCTACTCACTGATAGCAGGTAATCACCAGTTACACTGGCTCAAGTGTCTCACTCAGTGAATGTACCGTGCCACAAGTGCACACTGTTCTCTGGTCGCCTTTCAAGCTTTATTCGGGGCAATTTTGCCTATTTACATACACGGGTGTGGCCAAGCTACTTGACTTGTCATTGGCCAGGTTTTGGAGTTATGATTACTGGGTATATGTCTTGTAGAGTGTGCTGGGCGTGTAGAATGCAGTTCTGATGGCCTAATTCGCAGCATGAACCCTGCTTACCCCAATCCTAACGCAGTCTCCTTCACATGTCTTATGGGGTAAATGCCATCACCAGGGCTTCCCCAATAGCCCCATCACAAATACATGTACTTGCATTGTGTCCCGCGGAAAAAAACTGTGACAGGCATCTATGATTTCCCACGGAAAAGAAGACTTTAAATGTTTCTATTTACATAAGCCACGTTCTCTTTCTGGACAAGAGATAAGATTGGTGATTCCCCTCCTCCCTCTTCCCATGTCCAGGCACTACGCTGACTCGGGTCTAGTCTTCACCACAGGGAGATCGGATACTGCACCAACGTACTATTAAAAAAGTATGTAGTAACTGAGAAAGGATGATGTCCAGTGAATTCAAGAGTTCGGCATTGGTCTACTTTACTCAGCCTAGGTGGCAGGAGAAAGGGTCCTAAGCCATTGACTAGAGCAATTCAACTCTGCAGCAGGAAGACTATTCCTCTGAGATGCAACTCTAGCGCATTCCTCTTCTTTATCCATTATGATACCGACATTAATCGACTCGACTTAAATTAACTCGACATAAAATTGACTCTCCAATTACACCACCGTTGCACTCTACGCCCTTTGGCCGGCCACACACTTCCCAGGGCAGCAAGATGATCCCTCTGAGTAATGAGTACATTTACACTGCTAACTTAGTACTTTGAGGTACTTTTTACACAGTCGCATGGCCCAGCTCGTGCCTGACACCGAAATTACACCCACTAGGCATCTCCAAGCTATAAGTTATTGCATAGCTAGAATGTGCCTTTGGCAACGGCATTGTTCTGCTAGGCTATTTTCGCACTTCGTGTGTTGGGATAGTGAACATTCCTGGCAGTAACTCTAGGCATATGCTCACGATCACCATCTTGCATTGCAAGATGACACGCTCGTTATGATGGTACTGTGGCCTGATATCTGTTATTTTCTGTCGTCATGGCCGGAGATTGTTTGTTGCCTCAATTCCTAAGCTCAAATGGAGCTATCTCCACTGTTATGCCAGAGCGGCGTGACATCTCTCCCCGAGGCAATTATGTAGCTGCACATGAGAACAGGCTAACGGTTTACAAACAACAACAACAATGCACGTTCCTACCTGTACTGATTTGGACTTGGCGATGACCAGAAGTGTGTTCAGCAACGCACCGTCGCTTTCCAGATTTGTCGTAAACACATTGATCAGGGAGTTGTCACTGCTGCGCCTCAGGGCGGAGAAGATGGGACCCAGAAGCGGTCCCCTGCACGTCCTCCTGTTCGATACAGATAGTCTTTTTGCGTGGATATCTTGAGCGACAGATTGCAGACTTTCGTGCTTCTCTGCTGTTCCTGCCCCTGTGGCCGCAACGGAAAATTCAACAACATGGAAATCCTCACGAAAGAGCTTAGTTTTCGGGGCTCCTCAAGCTCAAAGGCTCATGGCCTGGGCAGGCATTGCCGGTTCCATAGGCCCAATATGGCGCGTGAATCTAAGGGTGTTTGGGACAACTAACTTTTCCATGCTTGGAAATCAGTCTCTGGCTTCCTACTAGTCATGTCCCTACAAGTAGGCCCTGTATGCTCATAACCTTTAAAAGTCATATGCCCACGTATCTGCCGCTGGGCGCTGGCAGCATGAATTAAAAATGGGGCAAAAGCCATCATTCAAAGGCAAATCGATCTAGATAAAAATGGCTACACTCTCTGAGTCTGAGTCTTCACAAGGCTACAAAATTATTATAATTACTATCTTGCTAATAAAGTAAGTTTCAGCTAGCTGCAACTCAAGTACAATGTCATGTACATGCATATCGCAAAAATGGGGCCATCATGTAGCATGTTCTGGTAAATGCATGCATTGATGAATGTGTAGTCCGAGGCGTTTTCATGGTGACCGTGTGCATGTGGAGCTAGCAATGCAGCTACAATACTCAATAGCGTGTTTATAGTGTCACGGATAATGTTCACACTTGTAGATCTAAAGTCATGTTGATGAGAACTGCAGATCATGGTAGATCTACTAGTACTAGGCGTCACTTACGTCGCAGATTGAACGGAATGTAAAGGTAGCTGTGTTGGGGTGCCAGCTTTCGGTTGATCATGGACTGCACAGTTGTCTTGGCGAAACTGTTCATGTCGGCGAAATTATTGTTGCTGCGTCGGTCCACATTGACCACGAAACTGATCATTGCCGAAAAGCATGTCTGCAGTGACAGGATCAAAGAAGGACACACTTTAAAGGATTTCAACTCAATACATGACTTTGTACAATGTAAGTTCTTCTTGAAGTTTGTACAACAACTTCGATGTTGACCTCCTTCGTGCACACCGCTAACAAGGTTCCCTGCTTGCTGTAAATCTCAAATTACACAGCCAACCTCGCGATGTAAATAATTAATTCACCTCTGCCGCGCTTTGTGTGGCACACTGGCCGCCTGCAGTTCGGAGTATAGTAAGCAGGTCTCGTCCTTGGCTTGAGTGACTCAGTCCTTGGCTTCCGAAGGCTTCAATCCGTGTCTCTCGAACTGTAAGTATGTGTGTCAGTGTAGACATGGTTGGGTCTGATTACTCTTATCCACCGCTGCTGGATCGAATGGCTCACCGAAATAGCTGGACATGCAGGCAGATGCGACGCCCTACCCTCACCTAGGCTACGCTGTGAGTGAGCTGTGCCGGTAGTTGTTCGTCAATTCGGAGCCTGAAAAGGTTTCCGATTGGTCATTGGATATTGGATATTGCTGAACCTTTCGCAGTATGTCGTGCATGTAGTGTGTTTGTGTCAGATTTCATAGGCAACGGAAACAAGCGGCAAGTCTCTTCAGACTTCACCTCCCATCATAAGGGCCATATCCCAGCAACGGACAGTGACATTACACCTGCGAACGACTTACAGACTGAGGGTTACGTAACACATACAAGCACGCAGAAACAAACAAAATACCAGAGTGCTCGGTAGTTGCATCTCCTCTCATTTTCTGGCGATCGATTGTTTTCGATGAGGCGATATCCCTTGGCCATTGTATGATTGCACTTAGTTCCCCCTGGTGTTCACACTTTGCCCCAGGAAACGTACTAATAGCCCATTCGCATTCACGGCTTCGAACTCGATTTGCCTATTGTCAATTCAAGTTGTTAAAGGAGCTTTTCTTTCTCTCGCATGTTCCACGAACCATGCTCTAAGCCTGCCTGAAGGCGATATCCTGCACCAGCATATATGTAGATCCTTCTTGCAAGTAATAATAATTGATTGCCTGCCTGATGTCCAGACGCAAGACACGATCCTCGCCAAGTTTCCGTTGCTCGGAAGCTGTGGATTAGCCCATTGCTTGTGCCTATGTCTAGTGGCGGTTTTCCTGAACACATCAACTCCCGCGAGAACCTGATGTTGTCAACACTCAAAGCACCCTGGTAATGGTTTGGATGAGCTTTGGTCCACGCCGTGCCCGGCACAGTGCCCTGCCAATAGAGGCGTGATAACCTGAAGGTAAACAACGGGATCTCTGGCTTCATTGCAGGAGCACGTTGCCACAAAGTTGTTTTCTCTAGTCCTGTTTCGACGTATTGTATTGTAACGGGTCACTGCTTGCGTCTCTCAAGGGCTCTGGAGCCAGCGCCGGCTATTCAGCATTCTGTCTGGTTGAGAGCATTTTACCACGCACTCGACACCACCAGTATCATTAGCCTGATTAGGGACTGCCAGAGGTATGCTGGAGAAATTAAGTTATGTGCTCGGTTCGGCTTTAATCATGCACCTAGGCGTGGCCGGTATTCTTGCCCATAATCGCAGCTATACTACACGAATTCAGACCCTGAACAACCGGTTAACCCCCCCCCCCCCCTTGCGTAATACAGCTTCGTAGCACAGTTATGCTTGATGGAATTCAATCTATACACCGGTACCGGAATTGTCCTCGCTGTGGTGATGGTGATATGAGTGCAGAGTTTGGATCGGCCAAGAGCGCAATGTGGTGGTGTGGTGTATTGGATTCCATAATGGCCGGGTCGTCGCTACTTCTTCTCAATTTCAACATTATGGTAAAAAATCCGAGTTCAACTTTGAACTCAACAGCAGTACATGCATTTTACTATGCATGGTCATGATCGTATGGTATCTGTCATCACTGGACTACAGCCTAGGAGGGAGAGAAAACCCAGCTACTCAGTACCTAGCTCATTATGTTATTTTGTGTATATACGGTGTACTCGTACACCCCTTTGCCAGCTTTGGATCCAGATCCCCATACTTGACTGATGGTCACTACTACTAGTACTACGGCAATGCTGATATAAAATACTGAAAACTGTGCCACTACAATCATTGAAAAAACGTGTCGCGTTGCACATTCGCCATGTGCAGATCATGCCGAGGCTATCATCACGGATAATAATAGCCTTGTACATCTACGACGTTGTATTGTCATTCTGCACATTCTCAGCTCGCGCTTGCTTAGTATTGCCACTATTGGTCATACAACGATGGAACGCCCCCGAGTATATACTAGAAGAGCATACTGTAATGAAATAGTATACAGTGTATTGTCCTGACAAGCCAGATAACAAGTTCGGGCGTCGCCTCCACGTTGGCAGCATCTACTTTGTATCTCCTTGAGGTGTGTGCCATTCTGGCGACTAAATGTCAACTCTCCAAGGATGGGGGGAATTCTTCCAATAAACTTGTGTCACTGAGGCCTGCTTTTCGCACTGATTCGTGACCACAGCGGAACGAGTATAAACGAACTTATGCTCGGTGCTAAACGAATTGTCAATGGCTTGCCGCAGAGTTCAGGAACACTTCTGTTCAAGAAGTATGCAACTGTGCCACTTCGGGACATTCATGCCCACCATCATCTTGACACATTCCTCCTCACTCTGGCTCAAGCTCTGTTCGGAAACCGTTAAATCTCTTTCTTGACTTGCATGTACGCATGGTTCGTCAAGACTTGTCCCAACAGGCAAGCGAATATATCAGGCATAGCAGGCAGTCGTGAGCATGGTGGATGCAAGTTGGTAACGTAACTCAGGTGCGAGACTCTTAATTGGCCTCTGCAGTACAGCAGTACAGTCGAGCGGTTATGAAGAATTGCAAACAGACATGTCCATTCTACATACAATGATGCGGAGCCTAGGACTAAAGTCCCTCTACAGCTGGGTGCACTGTCTCGTTCGTGTAGCCTGGATCATGTAGTACAAGTTTAGTAGTTGCATTCAAGTCAGATTCGATTGTTGGTTGATTTCCTGAGCGTTGGATGCAATGACGCATCATCGGATAGAAAACATTGTTCCCATGACTCTCTCTGGCTGGTTCAAGGAGCTTAAGCTCGGGTCACCACACCGCACATCTTGCATGCCCATAATGGCCACCTTTACTGTGCAGGAGACCGTCACACATACTTAACAGTGGACCTGATCGATGTAATAATATTAGTCCCCACGTCTTGCCACCGGGTACGCTCAGTGGCCCACGTCCACCAAACACTTGCTGAGCGTAAACATCACAACATCTTCCAGGTCCGTACAGGATGGCCGAAGGTGTCTCAGGCATAGCACGCCTCTCAGAACGATTATACTGTAAGACCCGCGGGGCCTTGCTTCACAATCGACAGACGCATTCCCTGTAACATGGTCTATTGGTTCTAAGTATGATTACTGTTGTCGTGTAGCTATTTGGTGGGTACTTTGCCACCAAGTTGTCGTATGGAAATCTTTAGTCCATCACCTGCTTTGCTACAATAGTACAAAACCGCGCTCCTTTTGACGGCGTCATGGAAAGATCTCAGGGGAAATCATGAGTCTTGTTGAGTATGTCAATCATTGGTATGATTTTATTGTATGGTGTACTGGCATAGCTGAAGATTGTGTCGTTTCTCAGTCCTTCATTGGGCTTCTTAGCTATGGCATTTCGTTGCTCGTACAGACTACAGTGCGCTGGAATGCAATTCACTTTCTGTGCCGCAAAAATGACCGTTTCATAGTGTTGAGGAGCAGTCTGGTTGGGCCCGTTTCACCATGACGCAGTAGCCCTTGGGTAAGGCCTGGGACTTGGGAGGACACTTTCAAGCAGAACATCGCGCATCTGTACCGCTTTACAAGGATGCATAACTGAACCCTCGCCCTGCCGTGTTTCTGAGGTCGCTTCCGATGGGCACGATCGAATTCCTTCCTCAAATCCCAATGAGATACATCGCTTGAACAAATCTACAACATCATTCACGTCCAAGTGGAGCTCTCTTCATTGGGAACACGTGTTCAACATCAGTACAAGGAGTCCATGCTACACGACTCAGGGAGCTGGAGAGGCACGTCTGATCTAATAATAATAATTATCAGTAAGCTTGCTGCACAAGACGAGGGGTCATTATAAAGGCGACCGTGTGACTTTCTCTAAAACGGGAGGGTTTGAAGCTTCTGGTGCCGTGTTGATCACATTCTCCTGGTATTCGCAGCATGACGCGGATCGAGGAGGTTTGTGAGGATCTGGAACATTCATACCACCAGGTGCCTGATGGCACCCCGCTGTTCTGTCTGATTGTGCTGATCATAATTATTATAATTTTATTGCTAACGTTCAGTATCCTGTCCGTCGACGAGGGTCTTTACTACATTAAGTGTGGTATGTGCATGACATAATTATATGATTGCATGCAATCGCAAGGGATACCTGCCGCTGCTCTCAAAAGGTGCTGCCTTCTCAAACTATCCTATTACCAAATTATATGCTGTTCGTTACTTGTGCACGCACAACAACCCAGAAACCTCTTGTTGAAAGGGCTGCATGCTGTCCACACTATCGGCGCAGCTCTTAGCAACTCAATGATTGGGAGCCAAAAACAAAGATCCAACATGTGATCGATCATTGGCGCTGATTACCAAAACTTGGAAACAATAAAACCTAGGTGATACAAGAGAGTATGCCTGGCACCTCGCGCGGACGTTTGCTGGGCACAGAACAACACTGATGCATTCACTGTTCAAGACATCGCAGGTGCTAATGTGACGAAATGTTGTATTTCACCGCCATGAGCGCCAGTTGTGCATCAACGAAGACCTTTTAACACGTTACCCTGTATCACGCCATGCACTAAGTTAGCTATGACCGGTGATGGTCTTAAGAAGGGTTATTCTGAGGTTTTAGACAGGTGACTTGAGTAACACAATGACGCGGTGGTACAAACCACACGCAAGGAAGTGTAGTCAACAATAAAGCTATAACTGTCGACTGGAATTCTGAACATCTCAATGGTCTATAAAGTGGGAGAAGTACATGGCAAGAAAAGAGCAACTGTAGACTAGTGTAGTAGCAATTGGGTAAGCCAATCGGCATGTACTTACTGTTCCCAGCAGGAGGAAGGCCAGTGAGAGGCCGGTGTATCGCGAGGCCAACGCCATTGCTCTCAAAACTCAGAAAACGGACACACGTTGACAGCGAGCGTTCCCTGCAGCTAGCGTTTTGATGGGCTGTGTTGGGGCACTTGTGGTCCTGAGAAGGGACACAGAGAGAGGCAGCAGTGAGTGAACTGAGGTACGAAGCTTGGCCAGATCTGCTTTTATACATTCCAAGCTCCGTGGCTTCGATTTGGTGAACCATGTGTTTCCTTTCCTCACTAACCTCGTCGGTTCAGACACACGGCGGATTTAACGCTTTGAACGGTATCCTCAACGCTTCCGCTGTGATCCAGTTTACCCGGTGTTCGAGGCGGATTCTGCGTGGCTTGCAGCTTATATACTCGCAGGTTGTCGCTCTTGTGATGCATCCCAAGCAGGCTCGTTTCCGCTGAGATCCTCGCCTCGTCCAAGCAGCACGGCTGCAGCGAACGAGCCAGACGATCCTTAAATGTTTGCACGGCTATGCAGTATGGTACATAGCTCGGCGTATGGTCAATCACAGGACGGACAAAAGCGAGATCGCGTAGGATACAATCATGTAACTATCACTCGGATTGGTCCATGCGTGATACGTTAGAAACGGAACATCACGGAGTGGACATGTCTCTAAGCTCTGCGGCTAGCAAATGAGCCTCTTGTGGTCGAGTGCCACCAGGTTGAGTCTCATGTTGTGCTATACCTGATCTGCATAGGGAATAGCCACTCTGAAGCGGTACTCGTACTTTGATTTGGGAACCTTCCTGACCCCACTCAGTCTGATGATACGTTTGGAGAGATCGCAAGTACTCGTACCAGAAACACGCACCAGGACCTTTCTAGATCCCTGCTACGCTACCTGATGTGATGCTAGGTGAAGTATAATTATGACGGTGGTCGTGGGTTGAGTGAGTCATTGTTTTTTTTAAATCACGCATTCTCGACGACGTCTTGAAGAAGAGATCAAGAAATGCATGCTGACGAGAACCTACTGCTCGGCTGACCACATTGCCTCTGCTTTCTTGCCTGCAGAACGGTCTATAGCTAGCTAATCGCGTGTGCGTGTACAGGTACTTGTGGAGACGCTGATTCGGTGATAGTGATAGCGTGATACAGAGATTACGGTTCGGCAGTGCAATGGTTTTAGTATGCGTCTACTACGTACAATGTACAATGACGGTACTCTTGAGTATGGGAAAGTAGGAATTGTGTGGGAACGTTTAAAAACAACTACTACTACTACACGTTAACAGCGAGTAGTCGGTAAGCTTCCCCGAGCAGTTCTGATCAGCTGGCGTCACTGTCACCTTTCTTCTGATTCTGATCCAGTATGAAGTGGTACGAGATAAGGAAGGTGTAGGCCAGGGAACAACTTGACTTCCTCTAGCCCGACAGTCGACGCACTGATTACAGTGTATTTGGCGAAGAATGAAATAAATTCTATAACGTTACTATCACACCTTGGTGCCGGCGGCATTATCGCGGTTGTGATGTGTAAGAGTATCATGACCAAGAGTATCAGCATCACACTCATCTCCATTTTCACTCATGTTGCTGTTGCCCTGGTAATGATGGCATCGGCCGATCTAGGAGCGCGGTAATGATTTGGAGGGGCAGAGATACAACATAAGTGTGATGTAATACCTCCTAGGAAACTCGTCTACAGTAATGAGTCCGTTAGGATCCTCTTCGCAGACTAGGTACACGTGTGCAAGATCTATTCTCAGCTTGCTTGGGTACCGACAACAGCGACCCCAATACCTCCAAGTAATTACTACACAGTCATGTAGATTGGTCAGGGCTAATGGACCTACTATGTAGCTACCCATTACAACCTGTGGATGTCATCTTGATCAGCGTCCGTTCTGGACTTGGGTCGGTGCATTCCTGTGAGCCCCGTGTCGGCGTGGCGCGGATAAAGACGACACTTCCAGTGAGGCTGTCAGCTACATTAGGACTCAGGGGAGGCTAGCTTTGGTGTGACATTTTTGGCAGGGTTTGGTGTGATATCTGGGGAAGAATACTTTCATGCAAGTAATACCCTGTTACGTTTGTCGGCCGTTAACACTTCCTGCTGTACCTCTAGTCACATCGGAGGTCTTTGCAGGCTTTGGTGCGAGTGCCGAAAACCCATTTTAAGTTTTTTTGCATGTCAATATAATACGCCAGGTCATGGTTCCCGACTGTTGACTGTGGCAGTGTTGGTCGCTGCAGTGCAGAACTGTAGCATCACCTGCACTTTCAAGCAGGCCGAGACTTCAGCCCGTGCCTCTCATTTCTCTATCCTGATCTTTGACCACTATATTCGTACAGTACCAAGATTGTTGTCGTCGCTGTTCATTTTATTTTGATTCGCTGACCAAAACGGATAAATATATCCAGTAACAATGGTGCGAATACGGAGAGGCACAGTGCCATAAATTTAGGAGATGCCTTCTTGCTCTGACATTCTACTTTCTAGGCGTTGCTCTAAAAGCACGTTCACGGCTATGGCTGCGTAGGGCAACGGTAAACATGCGTCGAACTGCCTTGTACATACTCCTCCATAGAGGGTCTGGGAAGTATGAAACAGGGAGTCGTAAAACTATTACTGGACAGAGTGTAACCAAGTAACGGCTGTTGTTGGAAGCCAGGGAGTCGCTGAAAGCCCTCCCTGCTAAGTGTTGGAAGTCAACAGTCCATGTGCCTTCTATGCCCACCCTGAAGACGACTGCTATCTTCATTGCTACTCAGTTTGAAGCTGCACCAAGCTGTAATAATGATCAAGTGCGTTGCTGTGATGGTGCAAACAACATTCCAGTGGCAATGAAGAGTTCAAACATGGCGTTGAAGTACAAATTAGTTTGGAAGATGTTTTGATCCAGGTCGAATGTAATAACCCGGCACCCTGGAGACCAGTGCAGCACGATGACTCGATGGACATACATGTCATTCGATATTCTGGTGGTGTAATGATATCGTCATGTAAGGTCAGGATTGACGTGTATGTGTGCATTGCACAGGACACGCCTCGGAACAACACATGTGTCTTGAAGAATGGACAAGTAGAAAACGCGGTGCTACTACGAATAGTCCGCCCATTCCATTCGCCGGTTTTTCAATGAACCACTGGATATTGGAGCATCCTCTTCTCCCCTCTTAACCTCATTGCAGGGCTACTGAATTCCCGGAGCGGATGACCTGAGTCTGGATAGGCTTGGCTTGAGATCCCATGGGAGGAAATAGCTCGTCGCTAAAATTTTAATGTCGTTAGCCCAGTTGACCGCTAATCAACAGCTTTGTAGTAATTGGCCAAGTGGCATAACAGCACTCCCATACTTGAACAGCACTGCCACACGCACAGTAGCGTGAATGGGACTTCTCCCAGACCGAAGCACCCATTCACCAGCGGTACATGGACACACGTGTGAGAAAGTGAGTGGATCATGCTGCGGGTATTGATTCACGGGGGCTGAGAATGTGGCTCCCACGAAACATGCTATCGCCCTAGCCTTGCAATGGAAAAAGTGGGAATGCTTTGGATTCGAGCAACCTCAATATCAGTGCGGGGATGTAAGCTGGCCATATCATGTGTCAACATCTTGAAGAGGTTGGAAGCATTGTTGCAATACCCAGTGTTTCAATAAATTGCCTCTACAAGTAGTACACGTGGGCGAAGGAAACAGTAACACTGCGCTGGTGATATAGTATGTCACTATACATATATGTACATGATTGTACAATGAAGAATCACCGCCATGCTGCGGTTGTGCTTGTACTAGTACGAAGCATAACACAACGCCAATTATTTGTTCCATCGCTCACATTACATAATTGCACGTACACGTATTTGCATTCTGTTCATGTCAACGGCGGGGAGCATGCATGCAATACATCTTGCACTGACCACTAACAAGTAAGACATTGGGCCACCAATATTCACGTATGTTTTATGTAGATTATTGTGGGATGCGTGGATCATAGAATAGGGTCGGAGTCTTGATCAACACCAGACAAGATTGCAATACAAATGACTCTGGCTTGTGTTCATTACTGATGGTGTTTGGGCTTGAGGCAGTTGTCAGGTGTTGCCAACAGTGCATTAAATCCCAAGCACTGAATGATGGAGAACGAACAATGGAGCAGATTTCCACTCCACCATGCCTGCGGCGTTGCTGTGTAACTACAAAACAACGCACATGCGGTGTTCCTTCTGATCTCCGTTTACATCATACATGAACTGAGCGTGACCCGTATCCAGGTGCATGGCACCCAATAAAACCTGTAAATCAGTTTGGTCCGTAAAGAGCTTGTAGCTCTCCAGCATGTGTGGTCGTATTACAATATCGGTATTCAACTGTGACACCAGCACATGTACATGTAACACACACACACACACACACACACACACACACACACACACACACACACTCGCGCACAGAGGTTAGCTGGGTACGCATGTACAATGTACGTGCAGATCACGGACTGAAGCTATGACAAGTACCCACCCCTATCACCCTAGACACACTTCCAATGCATAATGGACTAGACATGCAGGTACTGTTCTCAAGTTACCAAGGGATGTACCGGCCTGTCATGACGCGATCACGGATGTTATTCAAGAACACTCTTCCTCCCGGCTGCTCACCACCCAAACCACCCAGTCCCACTCCGCAAGGCAGTATACGCATCAGCGTGGGAGCACTATTTGATCGGTATAGTTGTCCACTCGGTCGGCCATGTTTGGTAAGTTTCAACCTGCGCGAGCTAGTTCCACCGCGCTGCTTCCCTGTTCCAGGGCCGCCATCGACCCCCTGATCGTCATCTTCCCGCCACACCTTAACCTTCATTGCACCGATCTGTTTCACGCTTTGCTCGGGAAGCGCGAGTCGCTCTTTGAGTTCAGTGCGCTTCTTTCCTCGAGTGAGGTGAAACGTGGAATAGGGCTCAATTTTCTGCAGAACAGTGCAAAGAACATCACAAGTGCAGCAATGTCACCTTCATAGGCATGTGCTCTGTTTTAGTGGTGTGTTGTTTGTTTGTTTTAATTATAGTCATCCTGTCCTGCCCCCACACGGGACTGTCCTGCCCCCACACGGGACTGTCCTGCCCCCACACGGGAACTCAAAGATATGGCAACGAATACTGCCTCCGGCTAGTATGTGTAATAACCCTGGAGAAAAATGACTTTCGAAGGACCAAACAGCTTGAATTCCAACGTTCACGGCACGTCCCGGAGCATGAGCGCTATGAATAACTGCACCACAGTGTTCACCTTGGCCCACCAACGCCAAAGGTGTTACAAACTGGTCTTGTAATTGGTGCACTGTATTACGCAAAGTACCCACCCCAGAACCGCAAGTGTAGGTTCTGTAGAAACTTGGTACATTGAACACTCACATCTCCATTATCTGGACCTCGACGTTGATGCTACCTACATGTACATGTAGACCTACCAGGCACCCTGTGGGTAAGCCGCATGATTAGTCATAATATAACCACTCTTTTGTCAATTTTGTGGAACAGCGATATCATTATGCCTGATCTCTGGACTTTCCACCATCGAAACGTACTTGATTCAGATACTGCAGTTTCACAAATTTTCGGTGTGCTTTTATTTTCGGTACTTTCAGTGTGTCTGTTTCATACCTAAAATTTCAATACACCAAACAAACACTAACACACATAATCCAATAGGGAACTGCTTCTCTACATACATACTTGTAAGTAAACTTTCTGTTCACCTAACCTGGCCTTTTGCCCTCATACCGAAAATATTGAGCACCTCAAACTGTTTCTGAAATAATTATTAGAGTAAATGGACATTTCAACGTTACGGACAGTGCCCGGTCTCCGGACCGCCGGGACAAACATAACATGTACATGTACGAGTGTACAATTATTAGATTGGCCAGCCGTGCAGCTTAACATCTCCTCTACAGCATTTACTGAGGCTGGAATGAACTTCAGTAGTGGTGTGTTGAATACCAGTGGAAGGATAGCTTTACAATCACCTTCAGAAGTGCTTCATCAACTTACTCGTAGATGACTTAGAATGTTTCGACACATAGGACTCTGCAGAAATAAACCATAAAAAGCAATAGAAAATAGTATTCAGACAGTTGTGATTCATCTGTGAGCGGGGTATGATCATCAGTCATTATCCAACATTGTCCAGTTGTCTATATCATGGCTAAGCTGCTATTACAATGCAACGCAATGGCAGGGTGGTGTCATTGCGAAGATAAGTTAAGACCTCTCTCTGACCCCCACTCTGCGTTAGTCTCAGTTAATGCTCGTATTTTGAGAACTCCCCCAAATCCTATCACTGGCCGTAAGCGAGGGCCGTTGGTTGGACTCCTGGTGGTAACAGTCAATATGTTTATACTTGTTGTGCCTTAAGACTTCAGACCATTCCCCATTTTCAAATCCCTCAACCTTATGAATAATCCTACAGCCAGTCAGACTTTCTCTAATGGACCCTAGTCTTTACAGTGCTTCCTGATCCCACCTTCAAAACAACCCCATGGAGATGTCATGCATTACTGCATGGTGATAGAAAGGAATTCAATACAGGCATTGTACAGAGAGGACTCTTGAACTCAACCAAGCAGCGCTAGCAAAATTGATAGGGCCTAAGCTGAGCTATCGGCTTGCCGGACTTTCCTTGAGATCACATCCTGAGTCAGCCATACTAATTTTGTACTTGTAGTACGATCTACAACACTAATACTAATTTGATAGTTGAGGTTCATTCCCTATTGGGTTACATGTCTTCATGCTAACTGGGTTACTGCACAGCACTATAACAGTATCAGGTGAAGTAACCCCCCCCCCCCCCCCCTCCCCCCCCCCCCCCCCCCCCCCCGGACAACATACCAAGCAGGCACGGGGTAAATAACATGTTCAGTACAATTTTATTAGCTCCATGAAACTGCAGTGTTGTGAAATCTGCTAAAGAGCTCCAAGTGGTACTTGGAGTGCTGCTCCCTGGTCACCAGATATGGCTAAACTCTCCCCCACAGAGACCCTGATCAGATATGGCTAACATCTCCCCCACAGAGACCCTGATCAATAGACCGATTGCACTAATTAGTCGATGGGTGCTTGCTCTGCACAAGGAGAATGACAGGGCATTCATGGTAGGTGCATGCCTTTACACATGTCATGTACACTAGTAACTAAAAATAATTGGAACACAATGCTTGGGCCAGTGCTAAAGACTTGCCATGAGAATTTTTTTGGTGAGAAACAGTCATTCAAGCAGGCATAACCCCCCCCCCCCCCGCCACACACACACACACACGCACACCCACCCTGGTGCCATCCATAGCCGGCTCACCTTCATTCCCCATAAGTAGGTTCGAAGATTAGCAATACCATCAGCAATCACACAGAACCTTGTCCTGCAGGTGAAGAAGACAATGATGTCAGCCCCCCCCCCAAATATATGAGCAATCATAATGATTAGAGACACTTGTGACTTAAAGTGAGAAAAAAATTCAAAAAATCCCTTGAGTCTCGCTTTTTGTAGAAAGCAGATCAGCCACAGGGGACCATGTTCCAAAGGACGCCTGAGAAATTGAGGACACCTTTCAACAGTCCATTGAAAGTGCCAACTGTCACAGTTCACTGTCCCAAAACTTGACATGTCACTGAGGATGTGACAGTTAGGGCTATTCAGTTTGGGTACCCATATTTCTCCGGTGCCTTCGTAATCATGTGTTAAAACTTGAAACAAGTTACAGAAATACACTCATAGCATTATGACCTTGTCCCAGGGAATTTTATGAGGCTGGCAAAAGCAGTATTCACCCAATGGTGTCAGCAATCCCAATGCAAGAAACTGAAACGTCTCGATCATCTAGTTGTGAGGGAGTGAAGCTGTGGAATGGATAGCTATTCCAATGATAGTCCCGTGCAATGATAAAATACAGTCAGACCTCGCTTATCCGGTCCTCTTTTATCCGGATCCCTTGCCATCCGGAAGAAAATAGCTGATTCCAGATCTACAGTACAGCATACGCAGTGCATCCTACATAACCGGTGTTCAGTTATCCGGTTCCCTCTCCTATCCGGACATTTTTGTGGAAAACGGATGTGTACGGTTAAGCGAGGTCTGACTGTACAGGCAGACACTCTTGCTTGGATGAGGTCATCAATGACATCATACCAAGCCATCTTACCTCATGTCATATATCTCTCCCTTGGCCATGACGAGGCGATTTTCATAGTCTTTATCGATCCGGGCCACCTAGCAACCAGCATGGGCAATATAGCAAATCGACTTGAAGCATTCAGTAATGAACATTTTTCAATGATACAAAGTATTATTTTCATATCAACACAGTCTGGAGATTTAAACAATTCATTATATTCGTACATAATGCATACAAAATGCCTGAGGAACTTTGGCAAACTGCCAGTGAAGTGCTCAAAGCACAGAGCACAGAGTGCACAGCTATTTTAAACTGGTCAACGGATTCCAAATGGACCCCCCCCCCTCTCTTTTTATGGATATACATGCCTAACGGACGTCCATTGACATTGACTCTCTTCTCACACTGTCTCTCCGCTGTGAAGATACTGTCACATGGCCGATTACGCTGCTTACCTCTTCTCGCCATCCCAGTTTGTATTTCTCGACGTCTCGGGCCTGCGGCAAGGAACAAGGAGAAGAAGTAGCACTTTCAAACCGTTATCACCCTGAAGTGCTCGACGGCCTCTCTGTCCAGCCCATATACATATACATATACATATACATATACATATACATGACATTGTACATGTACATACAAGAAATCGTCCCATGCATGGATCACATCAGTAGCTGTTAGGACTGGTCAATTTCCTCCATAAAAGAGCCATCAGAATACCGGCAAGCTATTTCAGATACGTTTGCCACCTGCTCTTTGTTTGTTTGCTGCGCTATTCAACATTGGCCGACGCTTGTGAAAGTAATAGAATATGTGGGTATTGAAATGGCCGCTGGAAATCAGAATGTTGTGATTGTGTAGGCAGTGCAAATCTCGAATCAAGTGATCTAAGTCCTAAGGAACGGCTCTACAGTCATGCACATGCACTAGCAACACTTGAAGAGTGACCTAGATATTGGACCTTTGCTCCTTTTGGCCCGACTGAGGCAGGGCAAGGTAGAACAACATCAGAACTTCGGAATCAAAATGACAACAACGTACCCTACACTCTGGTGCAGTCACAGCAAAGGTGAGCAACAATCAATCACAATGTGACATCAGCCACCTTTGGTAATGAAAATTTTACCCTATCCAAGACCATTGAGAGCCGGTGCAGTGACATCTTCTGCTCGTGTTGTTTTTCGTACATGTCGCTGAGGTCAGTGTTGCTGCTAAGGAACTCATGTGCATTGTATTATGCTAGCGTAGGATTGTTATTATTGTGAAAGCATGCATCTAGATCACCCAGTATTCAGACAGTCAAGAGGTTTCGGAAATAATAGAGTCAAGAAAGAGATTGCGCTGACCGCGGCTTACCATCTCCTTTCTACTCCTTTCTAGCTCCCGGATTTGAGCGCGAGCCACGGCCAAGCTTTCCTTCAGAAGTTCCTGCGTCTTTTCTTCTTCCTGCTCGCATTCAGAATTCATAAGCAAAAGGCGGTGGATGGATTCAGCATGGTTAAAAGTAATGTTAAAAGTAATGTTAAAAGTAATGTTAAAATAATGTTAAAAGTAATGTGGAAGAGAAAAGGACATATGGATACGAGTTAAAAGTTAAAAGTTAAAAGTAATGTTAAAAGTAATGGGGTAAATTGTGGTGTCTGTTCACTGAGCATGGTTGGTGCAGCATTACTTGTGCCAAAGTTCTTTCCCTAGGATATTATAAGTTACATGACCTTGTACATGTATGTACCTGGTGAAAGTGACCATGACTAGAGTGATAACAATGGAGTAGTGCAATGTGACACTATAGCTGCCTGCAATAGACATGGTCCCCATAACCAGTCCACTCCCTATAGCAGAGTGTGTGTTTTAACTAGGTACTTGACACATGCAGACATTGACTATGTACACAAATGTAAGATGTAGGCTAAAGCATCCTTGATCACACCGTCTCATATCACAGGTGACCATCCATTTGTAGTTTACGATGTACATTTCCCAATGCTAATGACCCGGCCAAGTTTGATTTATCACATCAAGTATTCTTACGATCAGTCTCCGTTTCTTCTCCTGCACTTCCTTGGATAAGCTGCTGATCTGATCGTACAGCTCATGAAGAGTCTTCACCATACACACACACATAGGCCACAGAAAACCAATTAGTGAGATTGCATACACATCTCGAAACAGTGTAGGTTTCCAAACTTGTGCCCCCCACCCCCTTCCCCTGAATCTAGCCCTGAACAGGTTACATAAAAGAGCACTCGACTACACAATCACCGGGCTGGGTGTTGTTGGCAGAGGTTACACATACAAGCATCTGATTTGAACCGCTTGCACATGTATCATGTTCTTTGCTGTATGAACATGGAAAACATTCCGAAACAATGGACACCTGCAGACCGTTCCTGGATGCTGGCAACAGGAAACTACCCGCGAGAAAAGTGAATGCGGCGCAAATATTTGCAGCAGAAGGGAGGACTGTTAGATAGAGGAAAGCTGGGTGGTTTGTATTTATGTGTGTGGAGGGGGATAGACATTAAATCTGCCTGCTATAAATGTAATTCACACAGAGTTATATACTAGCATCTCCTGATGATTGCTTTTCAACATGAAACTCGTGAGTAGAGACATTTAACCACTTTTGCTCCACCGGATTTTCGTTTATACTAGCAACTTGTGTGGGGATTTTCATACCTCCATTTGCTCGATATGCTTGCTGTTCATATCCTCCATGGCCTTGATATGATCTTCTTTAATCCTCTCCATGGATCTTTCGGCCTTCTTTTCGGCCTCATTAGCTAAAGCAGAGAAAACCCAAGAACATCGACATGTAACACTCCCAGTACATTAAGCTCTTACGGTGCTGTTTGCGTCATAAATAAAACTCTTGTTGTTATTATCTGATGGACTATACACTTTTATTTGGTGAGGCTAATCTGTTGTGAGAAAACTTCCTTCACTATCAATATAGTCAAGAGTAGATAAACAAGAGTGTGCAACTCCGGATCTCTCCTGCACAATCTGCAGATACCCCCGCCCAAGGCGGAATTTTTTGTTGACGTCACCTTTTTTCAGAGAAACGTACATTTTGCCGCAGAGCAGTGCAAGAGCACGTGCTGGGCACCGATCTTGTAATGTAAAGCCCGGCCAAGTGCACGAGGCAACACTTTTCAAAAGACTCGCAGCGCGTGCGTCGTCGAAAAGATTACGTCAACAAAAAATTGCGCCGTGGGCCAACCCATCCTGGAGTTGCACACTCTTGTTTATCTACTCTTGCTATAGTTGTAAGCACAGGTGGCTGCTTATAAATAAAAAAGGAAAGGAGCTTATGCTTTTCACTGTCTGCCTACTATGACTGTTCTCTGGAGCACAGGAGCTAGGAACACGTCAGACCTTCTACTCGGAAAATCTGCAAGAAGACTCCACTTCCTGCGCCATACATGTACACTGTGTTAACAGAAGTTTTGTCTGAACCTTTATCAATTGAGCGTAATTAGACTATTGATGCTAAAATTTTCTGTTTCCATTTAATATGAATAGTAAGTTAAACAGGAAAGGATAACATTTTGGTAGAGGGTTGAAACCTATAGGTGTAAGTTCAACTTACCTGCTCTCTGCTCTGCTTCGAGAACTTTCTCTCTCATACTGTAGAAGTGAGCATTCTAAGGATGGAGTGCACAGCAGCAGCATGCATAGAAACATTGGACAGTGGTATGGCTATCAGCTGCTGCATGATTGACTGACTGCATGGATGAAATATTCAGAATTTCCTATCCAACATTTTAAGAGAGAGAATCGGCTTCCGCGCAGGACACCGCATTTGTTGGAGTACAACATGCAGCTGAGTATAATGTGCACCCATTTTTGACCAAGAGTATGGCCATGGAAGATGTATTCGGGGCAAATGCACAGCACAATACTGTAGCAAATAGTTGTGCGCCGGTTCTATCTGGACATCTATTGCAAAAGGTGGCTTTCCTGGCTTTTATGCTTGTATTATTGATTATTATCATTAATGGAAGCAATGGTAGGCGACGAGGAGACAATACCTTTATTAATTAAGGCGATAAATAGTATAAGCGAAGCGGACATTACGTTTCGTAATGTCCGCTTCGCTTATACTATTTATCGCCTTAAGGAAGCAATGGTCCTTGTGCTTTGCTTTCACAGGAAACCGAAGTGCCATCGTATCCATTAACTCACTAGTCACTAGGACTAAAACAGTTTTACAATAACCATCTGCCCAGGATCTGCAAATACCACCACTGAAAAATGGGAAATCCTTGCAATTGGAAACTTTGACCGAAATTGTAGAAGTAAAGTTGTGCAAGAGAATATGGATTGCTTATCCTGTTTGAAAAGCAATTCAGCCAATAGCCTGTTTTCAAGCAAACAAATTTTACGTGCATGAAAGGCCCCACACTGTAATTAACCACGTCGCCAACAGTGTACCCTGGACAACTACATAACCTGATGTCAAAAAAAAAGCCCCGGTGCATTGAGCACTCTTTCGAGGACCACACCCAACTTTCCGTGTGTGACCGGCTCCCTATCCAGGTTGGGCACTCTGCGTGATAATCGAACAAGAATGGACCATCCGAAGCTGTTCCACCTAGATTACTCATTGAAGAACATACCTCTACCAAGCGAGCAACAATACAAACTGAAGCTGGTGGAGATGACAGAGAAACTAATCAAGAGAATGCGCTGGAAGGCCTTGTTCTTCCTAAAGGGTGACCAACCTCAACATCAGGATGAAAACAGTAACCACGGATTCAAGACGAGGACATGCCCACCCCAAGTGGATGACATGAAACAGTTCGAGGAAGAGCTGTGGTCCCTGGTCGAGAACGTTAGATTCCGCAGGGTGAGCGACGAGCTCCAGCGCAACCTCCAAGATGACCGGACCAGGATCAAATCATCACAGAGCATACTCGCCCCTGCAGATAAGACGAGGAACATCTACGAAGTCAGCCCTGACCTGTACACCAAACTACTGAACGACAACGTCACGAAGCACTACAAGCATGCCCCTGACAACGCCCAAGACGACATCACGATGAAGCAAAAGGCATCGCAGAGAGCCTCAACATCGCTAGCCGAGCCGAGACCATGGCGAAGAAAAACGCGTACATAACCCTAAAAGAGAAAGACCAAGGAACTACAAGTTACGCTATACTGTCCACTAACACCACCAGTTACTAAACAATCAGCTCATGCGATAACATTGCACGACACTGACCGACGGTACTGACGTTCTACAACTAACTGGCTATAGCGTAACTTGTAGTTCCTTGGTCTTTCTCTTTTGTATAAATTAAACCTTGGCTCTCCATCTGAGTAGATAACCCTAAAAGATCACAAAACCAACTTCTCACAAAGTTTACCATGCAGACTCATCAACCCCTCAACAAGTGAGATGGGAAAGTCAGCCAGAATATCCTGGCAAGGATCACCCAAGAACTACGAGACAAGTCAAACTAAACTCCTGGACGAATACCGCTGCAGTCGTTAACTGGTTCCGAGAAGTAGACAATAAAGCGGCATGCACGTTTGTCTGTTTCGACATAGTGGAATATTATCCAACAATCTCCCAAGACCTGCTGGAAGAATCCATTGCATTCGCAGCACAGCATATCGACGTCAGCCAGCAAGATCGAGATATCATCATGCATGCGCGAAAGTCGCTCCTGTTTAGTAGTGATGCAGCATGGATGAAAACGGACAGAAGAGGCCTATTTGACGTCACAATGGGTTGTTTTGACGGAGCAGAGACATGCGAGCTAGTGGGAACTTACGCGCTGTCAAAGCTAGCAGATAAGTTCGACAGTGATAACATCGGACTCTACCGCGACGACGGGTTGGCGGTCTTGAGAGATGCGACAGGCAGTGCAGCAGACAGAGCAAGAAAGGAGATATGCCGTATCAAAAGATCTTGGGCTGAAAATTACCATCGATGCCGGCATGAAGGTCTTAAAGTACCTCGACGTAACACTCAATCTAGCCGACGGGACTTACCGCCCCTACCGAAAACCAAATGACACGCCGATGTACGTCCACGCACTATCCAACCACCCGCCAACCATCATCCAACAAATACCCAAGTCTATCAGCAGACGATTGACAGATATTTCGTCCAACAGAGACATCTTCCAGGAGGCGGCACCTCCATACAACAGTGCGCTCAAGGCCAGCGGTTATGCCGAGCAGATCGTGTTCATGGAGGAGAGAGAAAAAGATGAAGAGAAAAAGAAGAAAAACCGCAGACGAAACATCATCTGGTACAATCCTCCGTTCAGCAAAACAGCAGCCACGAATGTCGCACAAAGATTCTTACACCTCGTCGAGAAGCATTTCCCACCTCGCTCACGCCTAAACAAAATATTCAACAGTAACACAGTAAAAGTAAGTTACAGCTGCATGCAGAACATGTCTGGTGTACTAAAGGCGCACAACTATTCG